TTTACAAATATTGAAAGGTAATTTTTTGTTAAAGGTTAAAGATATATCACATATTTACATCACATATATCCTGTTTCATTCTTAAAACTTATTAACAATAATGAATATTTCAATAATTTTAAAGTAAACAAAGTTGTAAAAATTATGTCAAATTCAAAGTACATATTTGAATATCGGTTTAAACACATTGTGTCCAAATAACTAGTATTAATGGCTGCTCAGTAGCATTGTCACTGGCTCATTGCTGTTTAAATATGAATAATCTGACCTAATTATTACAATGATCAGACGCAAATACGCTTAAAACATGTTCATTGTTCTCATAAACATATTCATTGTTCTATAATACATTACACAAATGTGATATAACCTAGAACAATTCCTTTAAAGTTTTATCTCTGTATTCTAACAAGTAACGGAGCTTTTAAGTTTTGATAGGAAATCATAAGATAAGTATCATTTCAGATATTTTTCTTTTATAAATTATTAGATATAATATTTGCTATATCCAACAGCGGCATATTCAAGAAAAATGTTTTAAAAAGATAATACTTTTTTATATATCGTTCAAAGTTTTTTTTTCATAACTTTACATAATTAAATTTTTTTAAGAATTCTACGTAAACTTTCTAGCCGCTAAGAGCTTTAACTTCGTCCGCCTAAATTTACTTAAGGGAAAATTCCTTGTGTAAACCTGAACATAATTTTAAATGAAACTAAGATAAGAGGTTTGGGAAATTGCTGCATAAAAGATTTGAAAGAGTTACGAAGCTTTCAAGAAAATAACATTTATCTTAGTTGTATACTTTTTGAAGCCTCTTAAATGTTTGTTGGAGGTTAGAAGTATTAAATATACTCGTATTTACATACATACAAATCTAAAACAAATCAGTTGTTTGCAAAAATATATTTTAATAGATTCTACAAAGTAGAGAGTTTAGAATATATCCCTGAAGTACATACCTACCCATTCGAATACTGTGTGAATTAAAGGTCAAAGAAATGACTGCTTGATTATTTTTTCTAACAAATCTAATTTTATAATACTATACTAATATTTTCGATTTTAGAGTATGATATCATTTTGAAACGAAAAATATCATGAAAATAGTAAAGGTCAATGGATTTCAAACAATCTTTTTGTTACATCATAATAACTGCAATAAATTACAAAATTAAACTATTCATATTTCAATTGAAACAATGAGATAATAGTAATTTCTATCTGTAGCTGTTATATGGTGGTCTTCAACTCACTTCTATGTTTAACTATCATGAAGTGAAAGTTTCCTACTTCGTAATTAGACTTACTCTCCTATTATTGAACAAGTTGATCTGAACGATAGTCTTACGTTATCTTCTCCTCTATGAAACTGTTAATTAAGGAATTTATTTTAATTTTATAGTATCCTTAACAGTATTTTTATGTCCTCCAAATTTTTGATAACATTGAAAGTTAATATTAATTTATTAACATGGATTTATAATAAACCATTAACCAGTAACCATTATATTTTTCAATTACTAAAGTAAAAGGACTTACATTTTAAAATATTATCCTATAATTAAAAATGTTATTCAATTCAAATCTCGATTAGCTTCGTAATATTTCCATTACAGTATAAAATACCATGACAAAGATGAATATAATCGCTAATAAGGTAATGAGATATTATCTAAACATATTCCACCTAATTGAAAGAATATTGATTGATGTATAGCATTACTCATTTTAATAATAAATTTAATTGAATAAAAAATATATGTTTCATCAAAGACAGATTTATAAGTTCGAGTTAAATATTACTACGCGTCTTTTCAGCTTAGTCTTCCTTATTTATTTCAATTTTAATTAAATTATTCGTACAAACATAAAAAGATGAATTACTTTCTATAAAATGAATTCATTTTCCTAAATGTGGTCCATACATTCCTCCAATACCGTATTAAATAGAATAGAGAAATTTATTCAGTTAAAAATAAGTAAAACTTAGTTTCAGTGCAGTTTATTTTGAACTTAAAATTACGTCATTAACGGTTATGTACTCTAAAATATTAATAATATTTTTATAAATTACTTATAAGAATACATATCACCATACTTTGTTATTTATATGAAAATTTGTTGTTGTTGTTCAAAACTTATTTGTTTTTTATTCGGCGCGTCATTAAACCTTATTTCAATTATTATGACTAAAATTACTAAAATTTCAATAGGAAAGGTTTCTAGAAATATATTTGGAAATAATCTTTTTTTTCTGTTTAATTATTATTTGCTAAATTTGATATTGTTTACAATATTAATACCAATTAGAGTATTGTGAACGATGTTGATAGTTTTAAAGAAAGTAATATTCCCGAAAAATCTTGAAAATATGTATATATAATTTGTTTGAATAAAACGTCAATATTATATTAATTAAAAAATTTGATCAGTTTCATGACCTTGTGAAAATCCTTTACCATTATAGAGCCTCTGAAAAACTTGTGAAAAATGCGATCGAGATGAACTTTCTTAAATACCTTAGGAAGGAATGAACTGATTAAAAAATAATTAATTCTTTAGCAAAGTTTTTAAGAGATGAAATATATAATACGAAAGCTATAAGGTAACTTTAATTAAAATTTTTAATTATATTCTAAAACAGGTTCAAAAATATGGTTCCTTATTTTGAAGATTCTTTGAAACTTTTCTTCAAAATTAGATTAATAACCTTGTATTTAACTATAGAAAATTCTTCAAAGTATACTTCTACTTTAGTAGTCTACAAAATTGATTATAAACTTACTTTGCCTCTAAAGGAGATCATTCAGGCTTCATACATTTTTGGGCCTTTTTTGAAAGTGCCAGCCAACAAAAAAAAAATGGTACATATTTGTAGAACTAACCATTTGGAACAATAGTTAATATGGCGCAAAAGTTGTAGGATCCAAGATATAGAAGTTATACAAGTTTCAAGATTCATCATTTTGGTACTTTATTTTTTCTGAAATGAAAAAACGAAAACGAAAAAACAACAAAAAATAACAGAAAAATAAGGAAAAAAAATTAGGAAGTTCAGTGACATACACACCTACAATATAATTCTAGTAATATTATAATTGCGAAATTTTTTATGAAAGAAGCTGACGTCCAGGAATAACACATAGGCTACTTTACATCCGAGAAATCCCGTAACACCGCGGGGCTCAGCTAGTTAATATGTATATAATTAATATGATAATGATATGATAAACCCACCTGTCCACGCTGGGAATCCAAAGCTGGTGCGATAGACGATCCAGTAGATATATGTAGTTACAATAAATTATATTTCATGATTAAAACGCCGCGATGTCTGTTTAAAATGGAGAGTATAAATTAGAAATGCCGTATATGAAGACAAAACACAAATAGAATAAAGTCATTTCTATTATTGTGCAAAGAAGGAGTATTAAACTTTTGCCTCGATTTTCGTCCGCGATTTTCATGATTTTCATCCGCGATTTTCGTGATTTTCATCCGCGATTTTCGTGATTTTCAACCGCGATTTTCAAGATTTTGATCCGCGATTTTCGTCCGCGATTTTCAACCGCGATTTTCAAGATTTTGATCCGCGATTTTCATGATTTTCATCCGCGATTTTCGTGATTTTCAACCGCGATTTTCAAGATTTTGATCCGCGATTTTCGTCCGCGATTTTCAACCGCGATTTTCAAGATTTTGATCCGCGATTTTCATGATTTTGATCCGCGATTTTCGTCCGCGATTTTCAAGATTTTGATCCGCGATTTTCATGATTTTCATCCGCGATTTTCGTGATTTTCAACCGCGATTTTCAAGATTTTGATCCGCGATTTTCGTCCGCGATTTTCAACCGCGATTTTCAAGATTTTGATCCGCGATTTTCATGATTTTGATCCGCGATTTTCGTCCGCGATTTTCAAGATTTTGATCCGCGATTTTCATGATTTTCATCCGCGATTTTCGTGATTTTCAACCGCGATTTTCAAGATTTTGATCCGCGATTTTCGTCCGCGATTTTCAACCGCGATTTTCATGATTTTGATCCGCGATTTTCGTCCGCGATTTTCAACCGCGATTTTCAAGATATTGATCCGCGATTTTCAAGATTTTGATCCGCGATTTTCGTCCGCGATTTTCATGATTTTGATCCGCGATTTTCGTCCGCGATTTTCATGATTTTGATCCGCGATTTTCGTCCGTGATTTTCAACCGCGATTTTCAAGATTTTGATCCGCGATTTTCGTCCGCGATTTTCAACCGCGATTTTCAAGATTTTGATCCGCGATTTTCATGATTTTGATCCGCGATTTTCGTCCGTGATTTTCAACCGCGATTTTCAAGATTTTGATCCGCGATTTTCATGATTTTGATCCGCGATTTTCGTCCGCGATTTTCAAGATTTTGATCCGCGATTTTCATGATTTTGATCCGCGATTTTCGTCCGCGATTTTCATGATTTTGATCCGCGATTTTCGTCCGCGATTTTCAACCGCGATTTTCAAGATTTTGATGCGCGATTTTCAAGATTTTGATCCGCGATTTTCGTCCGCGATTTTCAACCGCGATTTTCAAGATTTTGATCCGCGATTTTCATGATTTTGATCCGCGATTTTCGTCCGCGATTTTCAACCGCGATTTTCAAGATATTGATCCGCGATTTTCAAGATTTTGATCCGCGATTTTCGTCCGCGATTTTCATGATTTTGATCCGCGATTTTCGTGATTTTCAACCGCGATTTTCAAGATTTTGATCCGCGATTTTCGTCCGCGATTTTCAACCGCGATTTTCAAGATTTTGATCCGCGATTTTCGTCCGCGATTTTCAACCGCGATTTTCAAGATTTTGATCCGCGATTTTCAACCGCGATTTTCGTGATTTTCAATCGCGATTTTCAAGATTTTGATCCGCGATTTTCAAGATTTTGATCCACGATTTTCGTGATTTTCGTCCGCGATTTTCATGACTTTCATCCACGATTTTCGTCCGCGATTTTCATCCGCGATTTTGCCGCGTGCGTTCTGTGTGTGTGGTGCGTTCTGTGTGTGCTGTGTGTGCTGTGTGTGCTGTGTGTGCTGTGTGTGCTGTGTGGTGTGTGTGCGTGTAATACTCACCATGCTGATCGGAACAATGGCTGCTAAGAGGCGATATGGATGTCAATGATGACTTGCGCCTGCCAAGTCGTGATGCTGAAGGCGAGTGTGGAGCCGAGCCAGCCACTGCAGCAAGACTTAATATCACATGTAACCTGGAATATATAATGTAAATAATAATATATATCTAATATATAAAATTTCTATGTCACAATGTTAGTTAAACATACTGACCAATCTACACTATAGTACGTGTTATCTTAATGAAAAATATCCTTTAAGGATTTCTTGGAATAATAATGTGTAGAGAATATAGAATATGATAAGAATATATAGTGTGGATGTAGCTTAATGAATAAACAACGCGATATTATTGCTAATAAATAATTACTTATTGAGTTGCATATCTTTAATTAAACTGATATCGTCAACATATAACTCAAAACAAAATCCATATAATATATATACATATATATAAGTTTCAAACATCATTCTCGCGTCATATGATCAAATCCGACCCGAAATGGTACAAAATCAGTTAAAAGTGCTTCTAGGCCCATTTTTTAAAAATATAAAAATGGCACCCCGATATACATATTAGTTTAGACAAATAATAAAATCATCAAGAAATGTGTTGCATGCGTTCAGATACTTGGCGGAACAACGTCTGTCGGGTTCGCTAGTATTACATTAAAACGACAGGTTTCTAACAGATTATGGCTATAATGATTTCCTTGAGAAGCTTAACTCTAGCAATATCAATCATTATTTTATGTTTCTTGGCACTTTCAGAAAAAATAAAGTACCAAAATGATGAATCTTGAAACTTGAATAACTTCTATATCTTGGACCCTACAACTTTTGCGCCATATTAACTATTGTTCCAAATGGTTAGTTCTACAAATATGTACCATTTTTTTTTGTTGGCCGGCACTTTCAAAAAAGGCCCAAAAATGTATGAAGCCTGAATGATCTCCTTTACACATTAGACCTTAAAGAAGTAAAGTTAAACTTTGTGAAATAAAGTTTGTCCAATTTTTTACGAAACATTCTACACACACAATTTAGAATTTTTGTAGGTATCTGGCTTGCATATTTTTTGATTCAGTTTGTAAGAAATTGAACAAGTTAATCCTTATTTTGAAAAACGTTTTTTTTTATGTAAAAGGTCAGAGAAAATTTGTCACTAACATTATACTATCAAAGCTAAATTTAAACTACGTTAAATTTAAATTTTAATACAATGTGATAAAAGATTTATACTAGCTTCACGGGCTCATAAATGGCAAGTAAAAACTGATATTTTGTAAGAAAAATAAATAAGATGACTTGCAAATAAAAACCCACAAATTGTACCTATGTCATACATACATTTGATATTGTTTAAATGAAAATAATTAAATTATGTACAGTATAATAACATATGTATGGAATCTTCAACTCTCACGGATCATTACACCCTTAACACAGGTGACCCCTGAAGATATAACTTGCTCGTTTGATGTTAAGTGACCCGGAACAAACCGCCTCGATCGATGTATCACATCTGTTTTACTTAGAAATATAATTGCTATCACATTTTATCATTATTTATTATAATAATTAAATACATCTCTATTTGATAATCTTAAAAAATTAAGCAATGACAAACATTTTATGCTTAAGTGATTTAAAAAAATTTAAGAAGCAAATACAAAATAAAGTGGATTACAATTTTTAACTACCAATAAAAGCATATTTAAATCTTTTTTGTATAATAATAATATACAGACGATGGTTATTAAAGAAAAGTTTTTATCATAAAGATGATCAAATATTCTTTGATAATTATTATCAGAGTTTTTTGTATAGAATTTTATTGTTAGGACTAATAAATCTCTTTTATATTTGAATTCACTATTTCGTTGTTAATCATTTCATTGAAAATAATTATTAAATAGAAAACAACACAGTTAAAAATCTATTTCTTAACTAACGTCAAAACGTTAAACTCAATAATAAAATATGAGTTAAGGAACACAAAATTATTCCTAACAATTTACAAATATGTTCAGTTAACCGTTATTACATGACCGAAGTTGCCTGTCGGCACATCTAAATAAGGTATACGTTTCAATCTTCGCTCAATGTAACATTAGCGTCATAAATCAGCTGAGATGTCCGAACCCATCCTTTTGTAAATAACAGTGAGTGTTTTGTTTATATATATAATATATTCCAAATCCTTAGGGTTTGTTGACGATGTAAATAAAGGTATGTAGTACTTTTATGTTTTCAACCAATATGGAGTTAACAAGTTCTCAATAAACAAATAAATTAATATATAAAGAAAATAGAATGTTATGAATTAAACCGAAAAAAAGTATCATTTAATACTGTTGTTATATATTTCATTATCCTCTATACATATGACTTTTTCTGGTGGGAATTTTATATGTTTGTTTATTTATTCTCGATATATTTTACAATTGCAAAGTATTGAATGCGAATTGAATACAACTATATGCAGACTTTGGAAGTGCGTATTGAAAGTTATGTGTTGTTAATTATAAAGGCATCGCGTAAGAAGCATCACATAATTTTTGTCAACGGAAGGCGCAAGGTTCATTTATCTACGTCTCCGCAGTAAAAACGTGATCGATGATTCAACGTAAATACCTGCTTAACAAGTTGTTAATTTCTTTCTTTTGTGCTTAATTGACGAAATGTTTTTAATGAGGAGTGCAAATGAAATCTAGTCTTGTATTTACGACAAATTTCATCTAAGAGGTATTATTTGGAATATTTTTTTTTTGTACATATTAACACATATCTAAATAACAATAGTCGATTGACTATTTTAATATTGTCTCATTGTAAATTATTATGGTACTATCAAATATTATATTGAAGATGATATAGAAAAAAACTTTTGACTATTCTTGATAATAAATAGAAAATTATAAAGTTAAAAGATATCAAAAACTGCATTACTTTAATTGCTTAGTATTGAAAACGGGGAGCATCAAATTATGTTTAAAAATTTAAGCAACGTAGGTGTTACAAGAGCCAACAAACTTTTCACTTTTACATTAAAACAACACGAACTAGACAGTACAATAATAATGTAAATTAGTTAATTAGCAAATGTTACTTTAATATCACAGCTTTAACTTTACATTTGAGATTAAATGTAGGTATAGTAATGAGTTATTTTATTTGTGATTGTATATAATATATCTTTATAGCCTCATTCAAAAATTAAATGCCAATTTTTTTTAAAGAAATAATTTTAAATTTTTAAGATTAAATTACAAATAACTTTCATAGCTGACTCAAGTCAGGTCATTACAATTTAGTTAAAAAATTAAAATAATGGACAATCCGCAGGATATGAAATAGGTTCGCATCAAGCTCGAGTCTATAGATTTTTCATTCTTAATTATTATCAATTGACTAATTTTAATTTTAAATCATATAAATAACTGTTTATTTCATCAACATAAAAAATAAAAGTAGTAAAAACGTGGGGTGATACCTATAACAACATTTAAATTAGAATTGAAACATAGTGCCATAGGGAGCTGTTTATACTACATAAACTGAGAATGTTTCAAAGTTCTATTTCCTTTGTAATAAATAATGTTTTTTGAAACGTTGTTAAATAAATAAAATTCGCTAGTTTAATACGTCCTCTGGAAATTGCTTGTTTGAATTTTTATTTTACTGTGTTTTTAGGGGATGGTGGCTACTTTTAATTTAGTTTAGTTTTTGTGTACTGACTGTTACTACATAGGTGTACAACTTTACTACTGCCGGTTTATTCCGAGGCCCTATAGTCAAAAACAGATTTTACTTTTATGTTTCAAAGTTATTTTATTTCACTGGCCACTGGACTCTCCCACCTTTCGGGCATGTTGATCTTTTGGAGTGATCCACGAATCTATCAATTTTTATGCTTCTTATTAAGACCGGCAACTCTGTTAGCCACGCCGTGTACCACTGATTGAAACTAGTGACAGTCAAAATTAGCTACGGTTTGAGAATCAGCGGGTGGGGTATTGTCATGCTGTAAAATCACTTATCATGTCGCTTGTTGTATTACGGCTATTTGTATGTCAATGATTCCCTCAAATGCATAAATAGCATTCGATAATGATCCCATCAAATACAGCCCTAGACCTAGAATTATAAGTGGAGACATATTCGGAATATGTCCGTGATTGTCTTTGTTACTTTTTGTGCTATATACAAACAAACTAACAGCCATTAACATCTGTCGCCTTCAACTCATACGACACCCAATTTCTTAGTTACTGCATCATTTTCATGACTTTCAACCATTTTAAAATAGCTTGTTCCGTCACTACAATGCTCCTGACAATTCTTGTTGCATTTTAATAAAAATCTTGATCAAAAAATGCCTCCAGTTCTGCATCTTCGTGAACATTCTCTGGTCAAAATCACCGTTCTTGAAGTGGTAAAACCAGAATCGAGAAGTTTTTTCACCAATAGCTGCCTCTCCGTAGGTATTTGAATATCAGAATATCTTTATGATGCATATAAAAATCATCTAATGTTTCTATAGAGTTATGTTACCAAATTTCTAAACTGATTGTATGACGTCTATTTATTTCGACTACCACTTACTGATACAGCTATTAAAAAACGGCGTAAGCTAAGTTTTAAAGCTTAAATAAAGAAGAAGAAATAAGAATACTTGATCGCTTAAAGTTATCACAAGAAAACATTAGTGTAGAATGAAATATATTCAAATTTTAAACAATTATGTACTTGTTACCAATAACCTTATCAGGACAGTTTCGTTAAACAAAATAGGTTTAATTGTTTAACAATGATATTTAGGATTAATAAACTAATGTACCTTTTTAATAAACTTTTTTTTTTTAATTTAATTAAAAGCCCCTAATGAATGAACATTTTCACAACATTAGTCATTTGATTACACTAGAATTATGATAGGTGACACCTGAATTTAATGAGATGCTTTATTCTAATTAAATCTCACAGAGAAGCGTAATAGTTGCTTGTTTGAAATGAGGACGCAAAACACAAGAAATGAAAAATGCTCTTGATAAAATCAAAAGCAGCACATTTCTTCTTTGTTATCTCAGCCATGAATTTGTCAAAGTAAAAAAGAGTTCATTATGAAAGCCACGAAGGCGTCGGATGCAATATCCGAGGTTTTATCGTTTTATCTTAGAAATCTATAGCCATTTGTCCTTAACGATGATTGCCGCGCTTAGCTCATAATTTTATTGCGGTCCATCGAATATACCTAATCTATTTTTAATGTAGAAACAATACAAAAATATGTTAGTTTCTTACTGTTATATATAAAATATTCTCATTAAAGAATCTCATGGTAAATTTTCTAGAATACTCAAGACTTTGACATAAAATTAATAAAATAATTTAATTTTAACATTAAACGGAGAATTTAACAGATTCATTTTTGTCTAAGCGTTTTTACGCTACAATACGACAAGCCTTATGAGATTGAAGAATTAAAACAGTCGAGCAAGAGACAAATTCGTAAGAAAATTTTACTTTCTTTTACAAATATGTTTATTCCAAATGCTCTTGATACTATAGTATATTTTCTCGCTTTTATGAAACTGCTGACGGTAATAACAAAACACTTTAATGCTTGAAAATAGGAGAATTTTATTTTAGTATACAATAAAAACAAACGAGTTACAATCTATTTTATATGTAACTTGATCTGGTAACACCTTTTGGTCTATTTTATTCAAAATTAATTGCTAAGAGAATAATATTTTAGTCAACTACGTGCCAGTGAATGCATCATCATCGCTTTGATTTTATATTATACTTTAATCACGATTATGCCCAAAGCTGAAATTTAATTAAAAATAACTTTCCATTCCAGACCTTCCAAAGATAAGCTTTAACTGTTTGAATATAGACAATGTAACTTAAAGTTGTTATAAATTATTGTTAAACCTTAAATTCGCATAGTTTAAAATGTAAGTACCCACCTGTTTAAATAATGGGAAGTATAATTCAAGTTGAAGCTGCTAGACTAAAAAAAAACTGTTAATAATTTTATCCCATTTAACAAAAAGTTATCGACATTTTTAATGAATTTAATTAGAAAATTCTTTAGAATGTTCACTCCCCGATGTTATAAATAGTTAAATAATTTTTTTATGACTCCATTAATTAAAAACCGCCCTTTAATTTTTCTTCTAATAAGATTTTTTTTTTATTTAATTATATTATCTTAAATTATTATAAATATAGGTTTTCTAAGAATGTAAGAATAAAATTTTACTGTCCTATAGCAAATACTTGTCACAAATTAAGTCATATTTTGTTAGGGCGATTGACCTATAAACAAAACCATTGTAAGTGGGTGAAACTAATTTTATATGGAAACAAGATTAGTAACAAAAAACATTACGACACCGGCGAGATGAAACTAAGCAAACGGTAAACTTTTTAAATTATGATTTTTTCTACTAAAATTCTTTGTCTTTCAAAAAATTATCTTTATATCAAAATTTTAATTCCCGTGGAGGGTTTAGAAACAACGAATAACGTCATCTACTAACAGAATGAAAGTATTTCCTTTAGGTATTAGTTGCTTAAACTAAAATCGTTTGATTTCCTTCAGGATAATCTTTGAGTGAATTTTTTACATAGTTATCGTCATTGAACTATTTTTCTAATATTTAACTACACCAAATTTCTCCTATATAAAGCACCAATTGTGAAGATGTTGGAACTTGGAAATCTATTATTTTATTTCGTGATATCTAAGGTTGATATCAATTAATATTCAAATATTTGAAATGATTCTGGGCCCTCTAGGTTCTAACGTCAAAAACAAAGCTTTATTTTAGAATATTCCTATCTGTAGCAATTACACCAGGATATCACTACAAAATAAGGGTTTGAAACAGTTATTTTCAACTGTTTAATTGATTGGAATTAATGAAATGGTTCATATAATTAGGTAATTGACCTTAGCTAGATTAGAGACAATTAATTCCTGTAAACAGAAAACTAAATAATAAGATAAAGATATATTGACTTTATCAGCTAAGGACTTAACTATCATATTATAAAAATATTTTAATAAATCTACGTAGCAAACACAATTTAATGCAAGGATGATGTCAATATTGAGTCATCTATTGTATTAGTTATATGTTATAGATTCACTATAATGTATAATTACTTTAATTTATCGCCAGTAAATATATTATGTTACATGAAATAAAGTAGGAATTGATGGAGCGGAGCGGGAAAGCAATATGTTGAAAATATAAAATCAATACATATTACTTATTAGTTTATTATTTAAAAAAGCAAGGTTTTACGACAGTTTAAACTAGCTCGAACATACACAGTCTTTAAGCGCTATACTCTATAAAGATTTGTTATATATTAATTATATTAAGCATATCCTCCATACTTCTGGATCAACTGTTCCACCTGGTTCATGGCGACGGCGGTGCGACGTGTGAGAGCTGTGACGTCATCAGCCCTGGCGACACGAACACTGAAGCCCTGCATCCTGTTGGAGCCAGATAACATGCGGCCGACAACCCTACGTACATAACTCACCATGAACATAACACTATACAAACACCGAACAGAACTAGTTCAAAGGAACACAGAGAACAGGCTACATGTAAACACGTAAGGCCACGTATAGTATACCTAACAGTACAAGGCAGCGACAACTCGGGCAGTAACAAGTCGATCTCGTAATACACCACCTGCATCGCGGGACCGTTCTCATCTCTCACCACCAAGTTCTGGGCACTTCGATCCCCTGGACTAACACTGACGCATTTACCTTTACATGGAAACAACGAAATTGTATAGAATCTTTCTGTATAAAACTAAAACACTCTAGAATGTTCCAGAGACTATTAGGTAAGTGTTATTATAATGGCTACTCTATAAATTAATTACCAACTAGTTCATATAACACCATAACTCCGATGTCTTGTAGAGATCTGTTCCATTTCAAAATCTTCTCAACGGTTCCGCAGAGAACTCTCGTACCTACTTTACGTATCTCCTGTGAAATGGATTATCTTATGACTAGAAAATACTTGCTTCAACTGATCTTAAACAACCAGTTAGAAAAACTATGTTCAAAATAAGATCTCAATACAACCATAATTATTGACATTTATTATAATAGAGAATTCAAGTATTTGATGTAATATTGATAATTTCACAACCTTTACTATACGTTATACTAGAGAGATACAACTGAGGGCTGCATTTAACAACACCCTATCTTAATTTAATTAGTTTTATTCACTAACTGTGATGTTATATTTGCGTCACTTGTTGAGTAAATACTGGATTTTGAATTAAAGATAAGTTCAAAGAAAATTCTTTCTACAAGACATCTCACCTGTATCTTCTCAACTCGAGTTTTGACCTGCACTTGTTCTTCTTTCTTTACTAAATCAACTTCGGTAGGTTTTGACTCAACTAAATAAAAGAAAAAGTAATATTTATGATCCATTACACTTAATAAAAAGAATGTATTATCATGCTTTATTTTTTCAAAATTTTTCAGTTATTTGTTTTTAATAGCTTTCAGGATCATTTGGGTAAAATATAGATCGAGTTAAATCCGCTACTAAGTATACTAAGTGACCTTAAGTAAGAGGCTCTCAACATCTTAATACAATCAAATCAACGTCGGTGAAACTCTTGTAACTCGATCTGAGAGACATTTCAGTTGGTCCAAGAAGTGACTCTTTGTATAGAGAACGTGTAGTAGATGGATATAATGAAATATTACACCTACAGAACTGTTTTAGTGATATTAATACTAAGACGTTTGATAAGAACTATACAAGAAACGAAATATATTGAAGTTTATGACTTCTTAAAATATAAATATTTAGTTACTGACACGATTTTGACGGCTTTGTAGAAGACTCCCATTTCTGTTCAATTTAATTTAATTCTCTTTGATGCATTATTGTTTGAATTAACCTTTAAGTCTTTCAATATTAATGTACATAGGTTTCTTTTTTCTTAATGTTCACTCAATCCAAACTTTTAATGGACTCTCATATGAAATGAGTTATGTATAATATACTCAAATAATTATTTTAAAGACCATCTTTTTAGATAACTCGTTATTGAAATTTATTCCTCTCGAAATATTTATAAAATATTAATCGGCCATTGCGTCAATAATTGAATTATTAAAGAACCACAGAACATAGAAAAAATTAACTCATAAATGTAAAAGAAGATTAGTAACATTTATTATTCTATTTTGATACATTTCGACCTTACTTTCGATTAGTTCTCATTAACAGTGATCAAGATGAAAGTATCCGTCTGTTATTATTGTTTTTGAAAGTTCAAGGACAACAACTTGCCTATAGAATATACAAATAATTACCGAAATTTATAAGAAATGCTATTAAATGACAAAAAAATGCTCTTCTGAGAGAAGAATGCTGTAATGTTAAACGTGGGAACTCTTCATTAAAGATATGACATCCTACGTCTGGGGATAAGATCAGAACTGAAGACACATACAGTTAAGGCGTTCTAGTCCGTCAGTTCATAGTTTCTTTGACAACCGTGAAGCAAAAAGTATGTGTGTAAAGTATTCTAATGAGAACTATAATAGGATTCCATTCAATTAAATTCAAACGAAACACTGAATTAAATTGAAATAAAATCGGAATACACCTTAAAAATATTATAAAACCTCACAAACCTCTAGTAGTATGTTGCTGGAATGTTCTATGTTGGTCAATATTGTACGGACGAGCGTTAGTCTCAGGTAATGTAGCTGTGAAATATAACTGAGGTTATATATTAAGAGGTTGAATGTATGCGGGGGTTTGAAGAAATGAAAGACACATTGTATTTATTGAGGTGCGGCTCTGAGAGGGAACAGTTAATAATGAATGTTTATAAATCACATATATGTATATTAAAGAACAACTTCATATTCCAGACCAACGTGTGTTCTCTGCGGGTAATGTTTATAGTCGCTTCTCTCCGGGCCGATGAAGTCACGATTCTGATAACTTCCGAACAAATCAAAACTAGTCGACGGACACTCCCGCTGTCCTGGAGACGGTTCAAATTATTAACATTATACATGAACGTGTCTGTGTCACACGATTAATATATTCAGTTCACCTGTGGCTATGTACGAGCCGTTAGTATCTGAATACGCGGCCAAGTAGCGAGGGTCGATGCCGGATACTATGTGACCTTGGTTCTGATAAAACTATGAACACGTGTTAGTAATAGTGTTTGTGATTCATTAATATTGTACATCATATAATATATTACGTTGGATCCAAATGTCTGTGCGGGAGTAACGACCGCTCCGTGTGTTATATGAGTCATGTATCCTTGACTCTCCGGTCCGTACGAGTGATACACGCTCTGTGGACTGGAATCACAGACATGTGTGTATCATGAAGAAACAAATAAAATTGATTACTTTTACTATAATAGAAACTATATCTGATAGTATGCACGTCATAGACGTTTATAGTAAAGAAAGATAGGAGTTACAAATATACTTGTCACAATATTTTAATTACACAAAAATATTTACAAAAACCTATTGACACATAATATCTTGGACATGTTTGCAAGTCTACTAGTAGGACTTAGTATTTATTCCACAATAAAGTTGAATAACAATGAACGGCAATATGATACCTACTTTAAAATTTTAAAACAAAAATTTCGAAAATCTTAATTCCCCTTGAGATGTTACAGAGTAAGAGAGATGTGGTCTGCTTACTACTTACGTTCCAAAAGTACTTTCGGTATTAGTTGTTGGAAACGATATCATTTGATTTCCTTCGGGATAATCTGTAAAATCAAAATTATTACGATCTCGTTTTGTTCAGATACGTACGTATAAAAAGTTAAAAATATATTCTCACCTACTCCAGCTCTTGGTTCTCGTATAATATATCTATCCATGTTAACGAAACTGTTATTAAAAATTGAAATAATATCAATGTACTATATTTTAATGAGCGACTAATTATAGTTACAAAATAAGAACTATACTTAAAAGTGAGACGTGAGTGAAATTGGCGCCAAAAATGTGATGCATAATTGCATAATTGCCAGAACAGATAAAAAACATCTGAGACAATAAAACAAGATTTTTATATGTAACTTTTTAAAAAATTATTTGTAGTGTTTTAATAAAAATATTTTTAATATGCTTCGAATATTTTTAAAATTTAAAAGATTTGATATAAATACCTAAAGTATCTGAAAGTATTATTAGGTGTTTGGATTTCTGTATATTGACTTAAATATTTTCTTTCATCGCCTCATACCATTGCAGGAGCCCATCCAATAAATCAAACATATAATATCATGGTTAATAAAATTCCAGATAATATAATAATAACTTTGGATTTGCCTTTGTTCTTTTTTTAAACTGTGCAATAAATTTGTAAGGTTTTTCTAAGTTTTTCATTTTATATACTAAAATTTATGAAGTTGGTACTATAACAATTATTTTGTTTAATGTTTTGTACTGAGTATCATATAAATTGTAATTAAATTTTAAAGGTATTAACAAATATATTATACTGAAAGTGTTGCACTCTTCCCTAACAAGTTTCAAAAGTTCTCGTTGTAATTAACCGTCAGTTTTCAACTTAGCTTCCATTTTGGCTTTGTCAATATTCAACTGAAACTTTGTCTTTGACCTAAATGTAACGAGCTCTTTTACTGTTAAGCCTTTTCATTCCATGAGAATCAGCACAGACTGAAAACTTTAATTGAATTGTTTCATAAATCACATTAATATACCTAAATTTAAAAAAATAGTTTGGTATATGGTGACAAACGAACTATTACACTTTTTACAGTTAATATAATTTCATACAAATATTTCAAAAAAGTTATTTTCCTGATATCCATTAAACCAAAATCCATTCTTTTGGCAACGTAACCCATAGGAACAATAATTTTTAAAGTCAGACACTTTTATCAAGTATCAACTAGTATTAATACATTATTTACTTACTTGTTTATTTAATTTATGGTTCGGTCAATGGTTAATACTTTTTATTGTTTGATTTATACCACTGATTGATGAGAACATAAAGAGTTAAGCTATAATTAGTACCAAAGACCAATCCTTTTATTCTGTAACTTATGTTAAAAATGAAGCGAGTAATGAATTATATGGCATAATTAAATGGCATAAATCAAATCATTAATTTTTTTACTAATATTTTGTATGTTCATTCTTTTTATATTTTAAATAATATATTTTCAACATATAAATAACGCGGTTTAGATATCTTGAAATAGAATTATGCCGAAAAAATTTTAATATTAAAATTTTGATTTCCGTATACTATTTATAAAGATACGTTAAAATTTATAAAGAAATAGCAAAAAAAAAAAAAATATTAAAAGCACTTTGCATTAATTTTTCTACTTAATATTTTGTGATAGTTTACCTCTAAAGCTTTATACACATTGTGGCTTCAAAAAAATAATAACTCGTCAACGATCACTTGACAACTAAGCAGGTTTTGTTTGTTAGAAATTTACATTTTTGGATTCAAAGTAGAGTTTTATTTTATTAATTTTTTAAATGTTTATTTTCTAAGTCTAACACGACAAAGGTAAAACGAAGAGCAATTTCTGTCAATGTCACTATATTTGATAGCTGTGAAATGTCAAGTTTATAATCTTCAATCTTCATTATTGTTGTAAAGTGTATTTGGTCTTATTTGTTAGTCATCATAAAAAACAATACCCTAACTGGAATTTAACTTAGCCTTTTTTATTAATTATTAAACAAGATCTACAAAACCAAAATCATTTAAATTGACTACGATAAAAAAGCATTTTACAGTCATAATGGAACTTCAAGATACTTATTATAACAAATCTGAATATGTTGAAACGGTAAGTAAATTTATTAAATTTTTTTTAAATTTCACCAATCTTAAGAATTATTATTATTTTATAGCTTCAATTAAATGAATACAGTTTAATCTTTAATTGTAATATACTTGTAATTTATTTATTGAATTATTCTATTACTTAAATTTAGTTTTATTCATATCTTAATATTCACATATGAAACAAAAACATTAATTTTTTCCAGGCATCAGGTAATAAAGTGAGCCGACAGACTGTTTTATGTGGGTCTCAGAACATTGTTTTGCATGGTAAAGTTATAGTTCAAAGTGATGCAATTATAAGAGGCGACTTAGCTAATGTTAAGACCGGAAGGTTCTGTATCATAAGCAAGGGTTCTGTGATCAGACCGCCATTCAAGAAATTTAGTAAAGGGTAAGATTGTTGCTATAAATCGTCAGGGATAGTGCAAAACCTCATAACTGGCATTGGATAATTCCATGTATCTGCATTGGAAACAAATTATATGACGAAAGTTTAAGCTGTAATATTTTCAAAATTAACGACTTTTAAAGTAATTTTTTCACAATTACTAATAAATGAAACACTAAATAATTACTAATTTAAGCTTAAACTTTCTTCTAATAATCTGCAATGTAGATACACGGAATTATCCAATGCTAGTTATCCGATTTTGCACTGTACCCAATGATAGGCCGTCATTGTACAATTATTTTTCAATATTTCAAAGGTTCCTCTCTGGCATAATTTGTTATGATATAAAATCTTTTTCAGTGTGGCATTCTTCCCTCTACAAATGGGTGACCATGTATTTATTGGAGAAAATACTGTAGTCAATGCAGCTGTTGTAGGATCTTATGTATATATAGGGAAAAATGTTGTCATAGTAAGTCATTAGTGTATAATTAGTGTATAAGTGCCACATAATTATTTTAAATTTAAAAGAACTTATATTTGAGCCTATAGTTTCCTTATAAACTACAAATCGGTATTGTATTTTCAGGGAAGAAGATGTGTGTTGAAAGACTGTTGCATGATTGAAGATAATTCTGTTCTACCAGCGGAGACTATAGTGCCTTCCTTTGCAAGGTATTCTGGTAATCCAGCCAAGCTTATTACGACCCTACCAGAAGCTACTCCAGATCTGATGACAGAATTCACAAAGAGCTATTATCAGCATTTTTTACCTACTACCGTTAGTTAAGAATATTTAACAGTTTATTATTATTTATATAACAAATAGTAACATTTTTTCTAAATTATGTCTATAATATCTGCTTTATTTAAAATGTATACTGATGTATATAATAAAATGCATAATTTAAGTTTGATCCTGTTTTTTTTTTACTTAAATATTTTTAGTTTGTTATATGTATTACTCAGAGATTCAACAAAAATCCTTACAGATTGTTTTCTTTTTCATATTTTAAAACCATCAAAGTTCTGAATTGAAACCACTGTAGTTAAGTCTGAAGTAGCATTTATTTATAATAAACAGTTATAGAATATAGTATTGTTGTTTTTATCGTACCCAAGAACGGAAGCGCAACAATTGGTTAAACTGTCAAACTTCTTTCAAAATTATTATCTGTGGACTGACCTGTTAATTATTGTCTGTGTTTTGCCCTCGATCAATATCGATCTGTCAAGTAAACGGCTAAGTAGGAACATGAATGCGGCCTACAATTAAATTCATGTTTAAGAATATTAATATGCCTTCCCCATAATATAAGCCTTAAGACTTAAGTCAACATTATTCCTTTATGGAGTAACAATGGCGTTTCACTATACGGATGGTAACGTTTCGTCCGAACATCTTATGAATGGTAAGTAAAAAATCCAAAGAAAACAAAAAAGGCTACAATGCCAATAATTTAGGTTCATGACCGTACTTTTATTTTTGGGTATATGTGAGTGTAACTTTTGTTGAAGCTAAATTACGAGCCCCTTATTTATGTACTATAACATTTGTATTTTCATTTGTAAGTTGCTGTTTTACTGTATTGCATACGTTTACAAAAATAATATCAAAAAATAATCTATCAATTGTGGTTGTAGTGTTTGTTTTCCCCTTTTCTAAAGATGTTTAAGTCAGGAGGACCTGTTGAACTGTCAGGGGTGAACAACCTTGTTATGGTAATTTAGTTGGGTCAATGGAAAAAAAGAATTGTGCGATTATACTAAATGAATGAACCTTTATTAAAATTCTAACTTTAACCATTAATTTGTCCCTTGTATATACAATATTTAATATTGAAGAATATTATTAATACTATGTTATTAATACTATATAATAAACTTATATTGCAAACTAAATTTGTTTGTAGTGTTTAAAATGATTTAATTCTTGTGTTTTTATAATAAATTATTGTATCTTATTAAAAAACTATGTTTATATTCATACAGTGTACATAAAGTCTATATAACACTTAATATATACTGTATTTATGTTACTTAATAAGTAATATAAATATTCCTTGTAGTTTCTTTCTTATATATATGAGGTTTATAAGTGTTTCTTTTATACATATGAACTCCCATCATCAAATATATTATCAATTAAATAGTTATATATAATAAAGAACTGCAACATAAGAATATTCATGCTCTATAAGCATTCTCATATATTCTACCCCTTTCATTCATGTTAAAGTATTATATCCTAGAATATGTTAATATATTTTTATATAGCTTACTCATTCTCTAAAAATCTAGAATGACTATTGAATTCTTTATGAAAAAGTTAGGAAATTCTATACAATTCTCAATTGTATATGATAATTGTTGATATGAAATTCTTTACTTGTAATATAAGTATGAAAGATTTCTTAAAATAAACTTCTTTTTATAGATCATTATCAACCAGATTATTCCCAACCGTATGTCCTTCAAAGTCAAGAGGCAGAATATGAGTTGCGTAGCAATGTGCTTGTTGACGGAGGAGACAGATTTGGAGTATCAGCTGCCGTCTTTGATAAGTATGAAGAGTTGATATGGATGGGAAACCAAGGTGTAAGTTAAATATTTAATTGAACTAATTATTTCTTACATATAATGTTATGTATGCTAAGATGAGATATAAGATTTCTGGGAGTCTTATTCATTTAAATGAAACTCATATTTTTAGAATACACTACATAACTTTATTTTTGATAAAAACTACACACTCCCGACGACGTGCGGGTGTCGGGTCCATCGCGTTGCAGGGAGAGGAGCTTCCAGTGCCTGGGTCTTGCGACCCAAGTGTAGGTTTAAGGGGCCCCTTAACTAACGCGTACTATACCCTCACCTCCACTGTCCAAGCTCCTCTCTCTATCTAACCAAATTTGAAAAGAACCTACTAGGGCTGCCTTCGACGTACGTTCCAAGAATGAATTAATGTTAGTTCTGGACAGGCCCAAGTCTTTTAGTAGGTTATAGAGAGATTTAGCTGTTATACCTCTCGCTCCCACCTCTACCGCGTACAAATCAATGACTAACCTATTTCGAGTTAGTTCGTTAGTGAGCTCGTAATACTTATTGACCTTGATGGCATGGTCTTTGGGGATGTTGGTTTCCCAAGGCACCGTAAGCTCTATCATCACAACGCGCTTTAGAATACGCGAATATAGAAATATGTCTGGTCTGGTGACAGACGGACAAATATCCTCAGGGATTTTGTATTGTTAATTTTTATTTATTTTTATTTATATACTCTTTATTGTACACCAATATAGACAAATAATAGGATTAAAATAAAGAAAAGAAACATGTACAATAGGCGGCCTTATCGCTAAAACAGCGATCTCTTCCAGGCAACCTTTGGTAGAGGAGAGAGATAGGATGGATGGATAGGATGTTTAATGTCGCGTAATATATCCGAAAGATATTAGTTTCATTTAAATGTATGCTATGTATATAATGTTAATGTATGTATTACTTTTTAGGGTCACGTAACATCATATTATGGGCCGACCATGCAAAAGTACACTTCTTTCCAAGTTCATGCGACTGAAGAGATACGAGATATACTAACAGTTGACAAAGGCATCTACTTGCTTACAAAATCTATTCTACGTCACCAAATACGTAGGGGAATACCAAAATTTACTCATAAGTAAGTATTCGGTTGGACTATAGTTATTTGTAGAACTATTGTAAATTCTAGATTAACAAACCGGTAGGAAGTAAAAAATTATTATAATGGTGTCATGTTTAAAGTAATTATGAGATTATAATGCATAAATCTTAAGACAAAAGTGGTAAATGTTATGATATTGTAAATAAATGTTACTAAAAACCACTTCTTTGGGTGATGTGCAAGTCATATTGGTTCTTTTCATACAGATGATATTTTTTTTTATAAATGTTTGCAGATCTCCGAATATGGTTGACATGCAGTGTCTCCTGCAAGTGAATGAGACTAAGGTACTTATGGGTGGACATCAAGATAAACTCCTTGATTTCGATCTTGTTAAGATGATGGAAACTGTAATTGTAAGTTCAAATTTATTATATTACTTATATTTACATTAGAAAATGACCAATTCGTCAATATGACTGGAATTCAAAAAGGCAGTTCAAAAAATAATATTATGAGGTTGAGAACCCACCAGATCAATAAATTTTCCATTAAATATTACCCCAACATTGCTTTTATATTAATAATGAACAAAACATAATATATATACATAAATATGCTATATGTATATAGCATTTTTATTTTTACAGTTATGTATAAGGACCTAGAAAGCATGTCTTATAAGTTATAACTACTTCATGGAATAAGTATATTATGTAAAATGCATTTGCAATATTATACATGAAAAAACATAATACATATATTAAAAATTTCCAAAAAAGAAATATATTCAATATAAGAGTATTGTGAGATTTCTGATCCTAATCAAGATCATAAGATAATAAATTAAGAATATAAATAAAAGCTACAATCCTTTCTAACTGTACTTGTGGTACAATAAGTATATAAATTGATTATCAATAAATATCTTGGCTATGTCAGGTAAGTAGATATATGATAATGATTACAGAATGTTCCAGAAGAAGGTTGCGCTGTTATACGAAGTGGTGGCGGGTCTCTAATAGCCTGTGGGAGTGCAAATGGCATGGTCTCCCTCCGTGATATAAGATGTCCCGGTGTAGCTGAACATAGCTTCATGGCTCACACTGCCTGTCTATCAGATTTGGACATGCAGGGAGATTTACTTGTAACTTGTGGATTTACACAGTCGTTAGTATATTTTCTTATATAATAGTTAAAGATTGAATTAAAATGTATAGAGTATATAATACAAATAGTTATTTGTGAGTTAGTTATTAACTTATAGATATGTACAAAATGTATATAAAATTGTTTCCGTGACAGTTAATTGATTTAAATGAGTGTAAGACCAATATCAAAGTTTTTTGTTTAACTGATTGACATTAACCGATAAGTTCGTTTCATACTTAATGCTATAATATATTGTTTTGAATGTGGGCAAACAACTTTAGGATATAATATACTAGTTTTCCGCCCGCGTGGAGTTCGGTTATATCGTGTTTCCAAGAGAACCTTTCAAAAGTCTGGTACAAAAACTATCCTATGTTCTTTCTCAAGGTCAATTCCATCTTTGTACCAAATTTCATTAAAATCATTTCAGTGGTTTTAAGGCGTGAAAGCGTAACGGACAGACAGACAGACAGAGTTACTTTCATGTACATTTAGTTTAAATTTTTAATTTCAGTGGTGCAGTGGCAGTAGCGGACCCATATGTTGTAGTGTGGGATGTACGTCACATGAAAGGAAACACAGCGTGGTCAATCCCTACAGTGTCACCGCCTTTGTTATTACACTTTGTACCTTCAGTTTCCGGCAGAGCTGTTGCTTTGGCCGGTGATGGGAATGTCACATTGCTACACGTCAATGAAACACATGAATCTGAATACCAGTCAGTATTTCAGGTAATATTATTATGACCATTATTTTGTATGCAAGTTGGTTTTAATAGTGTTAAGCAATATTTGTTATATATAATGAGCCCAGTGGTGGCCCAGTGATTAGAAGGCCCGCCTCTCATGCATGAGAGCGCGAATTCGATCCTGGCAATTACCAATGTGATTTTTCCGAGTCATATGTACTTTCTAAGAGTATTTAGACATCACTGAGTAATGCATTCCCAAAAGAAGGTTGATGTCAGGCAGGCGGCCGGTCGTAAAAACAATTAGCCAAAACTATTCACAACATGTAAGGCAGACCCTGGCTAAAGCTGGGAAATTGCCAGGTAGAAGAAGAATGTGCATAATGAAACATTCTATGTGTATTATAATAATGTTTTCTATGTATTTTATTTGAAATGGGAGATTCACTCATAGAAAAGATCAGAAAATTTTTAATCTAGTTTAAAAAGTTATTTGAAAATTTTCTTTTTCTGTGTGTATGTATGTATATCCTTTTTATATTTTCACAACTAATATCATCAAGGAGTTATTTTTTAATATTGAAATTATAATGAAGTCTATTATACATTCTCATGTATTCATGCTATATATACATTTCACTAAATTATAGTTATACTTTTAAAAGCTACATACCTACTGCCGACGTTTCGGTTACTTTGCAGCAACCTTGATCACAGGCAGATGAGATGTGTGTGACGAATTCTCCATACAAGTAATAAAATACGCGTAGTAATCCAAAAAAAAAATATTTTATTTAAATGAATACTGGCGAAAGTCTAGATCTAATTATATAATTATATTATGTTTTTATCTTCAGGTTGACACTCAGAACTCTTTGTGTAGTGTGATGGATGTATCTTCCACGAGTCAGGCGATGGTGTTTGGAGATCAGGCTGGTCACTTACATCTATTCTCTCCTCAACATAATAATGAGCCCGTCTTCAATAACTTCTCCAGGTGAGAATTATATGGTATTAATATTCATTCACTAAGCTCCTGTATATTAATTTATATGATATATAATATACAGGGTGACTGGTGAATTACTATCAATATTTAAGGAGAATACTCGGTACATGATTCTCATTCGAATTATGTAAAAAAAATAGGTAGTTAATTTTTGACCAAATTTCCGTATAAATAAATAAAGTGTGGACACGTTCCAAGTGTTCCAAGTGTGGGCGCGTGCGGCTGCGTGCTGATACAACAAGACGCCGCCGCACACGTGTGTGTGTGTCTGTGTATACCTAATCTGTAGGGTGTTCACACGATGCGTAATTAATTACATAACTTTTGGTTAACTTTACTTAGAAGTTTATTAATATTTATGTTATATTAATTTTTATTTTGTCATATATGATCGTCAAATATCACGTCCTCAAATATCGATAGTAATTCACCAGTCACCCTGTATATAGGTAAATACGAATTTGTTAATACATATAAATAAAATCGTGAAATATCATTATATAGGAGAGATTAATATGATAGTAATGCTGACTTGTGAAAACGATTCTTTAAATTATATTTGAATAATATAACAGCGTCGTAGAACGTGTTTATAGATTTAATGTCGTTTTTTGATGAATTATTCATAGTAGGTATGTTTATTCCAAGTTATGTAATGTTTTCTATGCCTATATTTGTTTTTCAGAGCCACCGAGTTCGCTGACCCTCCCCCCAATCTCCCGTACGCTAGTTTTGAAGACAACTCCTTCTCGTATTCATCAGTGCCACTGCCGCCGCTCGCGTCAGGCTCTAAATGGTTCAATGAACTTCCACCCGAATTCTTCACGAACGTATACAGGTTGAATATAAATGAAATTGAATAAAAAATAATTCCTCCACTGTTAGATGAGTATAGTAGTAGTAGTATCCCTACTAATATTATAAATGCGAAAGTAACTCTGTCTGTCTGTTACGCTTTCACGCCTAAACAACTAAACTGATTTTAATGAAATTTGGTACAGAGATAGAGTTAATCTTGAAAACCTTAAAAAGAACAAAGGATAGTTTTTAACCCAGACTTTTGAAAGGTTTTCTTGGAAACGCGATATAACCGAACTTCACACGGGCAAAGCAGCGGGCGGAAAGCTAATATATACATCGAGTTATTATTCATTGCACTAAAAAACACATAAAGGCAATACGACTACAGTACTTTTTATAACATTCGTGGAAACAAATATGCACAAATCATCTTATAGAAGTTTGTCTACCAATAGAATCTGTTTATTTTTGTATTCAAGTCGATTAATTAAAAAGAAATAATAGAAAGAAAATTTGATATACTTTGCTATTATATAATTGATAATCTAATTTCAGAAAGCCTAAGCCTATAGATCAAGAAGTATTAAGAACAATGAAGATGCAGGGTCCAATAGGTTACGCGCCTAATCCAAGGACGCACAGACGTAATCAGGTCATTAAAACAATTTATTGCATTACATATAAGTATAGATATAATAATTTAGTGCCAATGCGTTTTTTCTGACTCATATTTATATTCTAAGAGTATTTGAACACCACTGACAGACGGTAAAGGAAAACATAGAGAGGAAACCTAGACTTATAATTTCAAATATAAGTTTGAAAACACCAATTCGCCTTGAACAAGCATAGTGATGAATGCTCTAACCTTCTCCGTGTGAGAAGAGGCCTTTCCTTAGCAGTGGACAGCAATAGACTGTTGATAATAATGATCACTATCTTATATCTTTAAATAAGAAATTCTTGTATATACATATATGTACAAGTAAACCCGGCGAACTCCGTTTCGCTATCAGAAGGCTTTTATATAACATTTCGGTTGGTGATTAAAAGATGAAGATTTTTTTTGTTTTATATTTGAAAAGGAAAATTTTTATTTCATTTCACAACAGTAATTAATTCATTTCGATTACAAAAATGAAGTGTTATTTCGTTGAACTTCTCTAAGTAAATGAAAGTGAATCCAAAGTAGATACCGAATCGAAGCGTTATACGTGTCCGCAAATTATTATCCGTTTCATTGAAGTGGTCCTTTGTAAACCACATTTTTTGTTTTTTGGTCTAACTTTAACACAAATAAAGCGGATGGTTTCCAAACTCGTGAACACGCAAAATATAACGCCCTTGTGAAAAACAATGATTTTCTAAATTTATCCCGCAAAGACTAAATGATTTTAAGAGTTCAAACTACAAACACAATACCGGTTTGTCACATGAAATTAACTGAGCAGAGAACAATGAGTAGCTGTCAAACAAGGTATCATCTCTTACAAATATCTAATTGTCATCATTACGTCATTACATATCTGTCATTATACGTCAATTGCATAGCTGTCAATTGTGTTTCGTTATTCCACGTTTTATAGTGACTGACGTTTCATGTCAAGTCCCACGGGAATGCTGTCGAACGGGATAAAAAGTATCCTGGCTCTAAAACTACCTCCCTGCCAATTTTCAGCTAAATCGGTTCAGCCGTTCTTGAGTTATAAGTGGAGTAACTAACACGACTTTCTTTTATATATATAGATATATGTATAATTGGAATCTCGGAATCGGCTCCTACGATTTTCATGAAATTTAGTAAATGTTGAATTTACTAATTGATTTTAGTAATTTTTAGAACGACACAACAGCAGATGGCGCTGTTAAGTAACAGGAAGTCAATGAGTGTTTGTTTTGAGGTTAGACTAAGAAATTAAATGTTGATTTATATTGTTTTATATGTTCTTAACGTGTTCACTTAAAAATGCCTAAATGAAATAAAAAAAAACACAAAATAAATACTAATAATTCCTAAATACTGAGCAAAGCTCGGAAACCAGCTATTGTATATCTTTATATATATAATTCTTCTGTGAGTGTGTATGTCACTGAACTTCTCTCAAACGACTGGACCGAATTTGATGAAATTTTTTGTGTTTGTTCAAGGGGATCTGGGAATGGTTTAGATTCACAATTTTGTCCACTGGACAATGTTTTTTTAATTAATTTTTAATTTATTAGTAGTTGTTGATACAAACGGTTTTTTTTTGATATTAGATTTGACAACTAACTAATATGTCAATCATTCTGTCGCACTTCAAAACACGGAGATTTATGGCTTTAATAGGTAAACCCCAAAAATATAAATAAAAAAACGTAACAGATATTACTTGGTTATAGGGCGATACGAATTTCGCCGGGTCTTCTAGTAATAATATAAAGCGCTTTTTATCAACTTATTATGATTAATATTAAATTAGTCAAATATCAAACAAAGTTTAATATCAAACCCCCAAACTTTAGTAATATCAAATTTGAAGCATTCATATACAGAATAAATTCATAGTTTAAAAATAACAATATTTATGTATAAGTTTTTCACTACTTTCATAGTCAAACCAAATTTACCAAATACAATATACATATTTTATAGATGCCATACATAGAAGAAGATTTGCAAGACATCGAAAATCCAGGACGAGATCGTCGGAACACACAGCAGCCGATACCTAGATATTATTTGAAGGTATATAAATATATACAATTTTTGTTCAATATTAAACTGTGAGAAAAAATTATACGTATTAACATCTCGTCTGTCCGTGATCACGGGTGCTGCAAAGTATCCGAAAAGTTAGGAGTATGTAGTGTTTTTGAAAAATAATAAAATAACGCGTAATAATCCGAAAATATATGTTTTATTTATATGTATTTTTTTTTCAGACAGAAGTACGTTTCGATCAAAATGGAGAAAATTGCGAACAAGAAAATATTAACGAAACTGGTTTACCGGGGATACAGAGCACTGTGCCTAATTCATATTGTAATCCAATGTTACAGGTATATTTATGTTTCAATATATTCAATACACACACTTATACAGGGTGACTGGTGAATTACTATCAATATTTAAGGACGTGGTAGTTGACGATCATATATGACAAAATAAAAATTAATATAACATAAATATTAAAAACTTCTGAGTAAAGTTAACCTAAAGTTATGTAATTAATTACGGATCGCGTGGATACCCTAGCTGCGTTATCGACACAAAACAGTTATGTACGTAGGTATATGTAGTTATCGCGCGGTAGTTTACCTACATCCAAACGCCGCGCGCCGCCGTTGTTAGACCTTAGATAAACAAAAATGATCCAATTCCCTTCATACTTTAATCCTGGCTTAGGACAGGCAAAAATACCAAGATATTTCTTTCGTTTAAGCAACCAATTTATTGACTAGGTAAATGGTGTGACCTTGACACAAAAAATAATATGAACTGTTTACCTATCTTGGTATTTCCGGCGTATTTAAAAATGGAATCATACTTATTTACAACGTTCGTTCGTACAGTTCGTCACGTTTACACATATTGTCTTTCACACGATTTAATACGAATGGGTCACTTTTAATAGTTTTGAAATCACTATTGATTTTTAATTTCAACTCCTCTCTGTTTACATACTCTGTAGCATACACAAGACGTTTCCTTGGGCATGTGTTGGAACACGGAACTGTCCGAAGTCTCGTAATCTTTGATTAGCGTTTAAGATGACGCTGGCCGTAGGTACTCGACGATTGGGGAACATCTCCCGGTACAAATTGATTGCGCCCGGCAAGCTATCATTTGCACGCGCATACGCATGAACCATGTCCAAGTAATCTGCATTTGTGTATTGAAAAGCCATACTTAATTACTAATAAGTAATAACGGGTCACACGCACACACGACAGATTATTATAAGGTATATACGTGTAAGATCGAACGCTAGGCGCGCGCGCGGGAAGATGAACGTACGGACCTTACGGCGGCGCTCGCCCGACTAATTAGCCACGGGGGGTCGGTGGGGAGTAGCGACACACTGGCGCCGGCAAGGCTGGGTACGTGTCCAAACTTTATTTATTTATACGGAAATTTGGTCAAAAATTAAGTACCTATTTTTTTTACATAATTCGAATGAGAATCATGTACCGAGTATTCTCCTTAAATATTGAGAGTAATTCACCAGTCACCCTGTATATGGGGGATTCTACGGGAAAGTAAACCTTGATGTAATTTTTAAAAGTTTTTCTTTTTTTTTAAATATTATATATATCGATACAAAATACTTAAACTTGCATGATACTTTAAAAATATTAGTATATTAATATTTTTTATTAAGTTGCAAACTTTATTAATGAATTTTATGCTGATTTGGATCTGAAAAGATGCAAAGCTGTCAAGCTGAGTGTTTAAAATGTATACCTTGATGCTGACCCAAGCTACTGAACTGACTCCCATGATGAAACTAGCATCCATATCAAGAAATAAAAACTTATAAGTGACTCCTTGTACCAAGTAAATCGTACGTGTCCCATCCGTGACAGTGAAAGTCCCACCCGTGTCACACTTTATTTATTTTTTGTAAAAATATGTGTAAATTCTATTATTTTCTATTCAAATGTGAAGTTTAGTTTATTGTCTCAACGAAAAATCGTAGTCTGCATTAAAAAGTTTTATCATCTAGCAGAGTTTTATTAAATATGATGCATGTGTATCAAGAATCTCACAACTTTGTCCCACCCGTTACAAATATTTACTGTCTTCTTTATTAAATTTTACATGGCGTTATTCCCGTTTTTATTGAACATATAAAAGTACATAGATAAATTTATAATATTCTATATAAACCAATTAGATATCATTGATACAATTAGCGTAAATAAGCCACACACGCTGAAAATCGAGGTACAAGTGTCCCACCCGTGACGATAGAATCCCCCATGTATTAAATTGTACATGTACATCTATATTAAATGCACACCCTGTATAACTTTTTCAATTTGTATTTATTAATTTAATTTGTTTTAGGTTTTATATTACATACCGCCGTTAAAAGCCACATTATTGGCTCACACTTGCGCTAAGGAGTTCTGTCTTAGCTGTGAATTAGGTAAGATATAAATGTTTCAAATATGTAAATAAAATATTTTTAACACGAATAACTAATAATTGGTTAAATTAATTAATTCCTAGACTGCAAAAAATAATTTCTTTTTGCGCAGTTATAACGTGATAAATGTCGTTCCATAAATATAATCTGTTATATTATTCGATTTTCAAAGATATATAAAATGTATTCTGTATTATATTATTCAATTCACGTTTGAAAAAAAAATGTCCTCTCCACATACACACACACATATATGTATATCGAATATTGTATGTAAAATATATTTATAAATCACCTCTACAGTCTACAGTAGTTTAGTATAGATAGCAGTTTTGACATAAAAAATTCAGTATCCAGTGCTACAGAGCTACGTAAATACCTATGTAAGATATGAAAACAATTTTTTTCTTCCTTCACGCTTACAATAGTAAACATTAAAACTTTCGAAACGTCAAAACTACTTAGAAGAATTAAATTTTAAGACTAAAAATTCAATAGGACATTGGCAGACTATACTGTGCACGTCCTTGCACGTATGAAGGCCATATATAAAACAACCAACCAACCTTTTCGTCCGTCAGGTTTTCTGTTCCGCGCCCTAGACTCGTCCGGGGGCGCCGCGTGTCGCGCCACTAACTTCCTGCGAGCGTTCAGAACAGTGCCGGAGGCCGCGGCGCTCGGACTCATACTGCCTGAACGGACCACGCCCAGGGTAGATGTCGCCACTCTCGTTCAGGTATATAAAATAAATACTAATATAATGTATTAATAAATTACATATATTACCGATACAAGAATATAAATATCTTAGGACAAATGAATACTAATAAAATATTTATTAAATTCATACATTACCTATATAAGAATATAAATATCTTAGGACAAATGATGTGTTATATATCAATTAATCAATTGCTCAAACGCTGGTTTTACAAGGTCGAGAGCTATGTTATTGGGAATAATTGATCAGTAGTTTATTTTGACCGGAAAAACATTTGTATTTATAAATAGGACTTAGTCTTTGAGAGAGAATTTAATAATATATTCATATTTGTATAGTTAGTTTGACGATATATTTCTTTAAAATTACTTAGAATAATAAGGTTAAGCTTAATAAAAAAATATAATTACTATTTTGCCAGAGTTGGAACCGTTTCATCTTACATCAAATGCACGCGGAGATATTGGAAACGCGAAGAAAGGAAAAGGAACTGGCGTATCTGACGCAGAGAATAAGATTAGTGAGACCCGGGAACAAGGCGGTACAGAAACTATTGAATGGAGAAATAGATGAGTTTGAACTAGACATGCAGTTCCTGGACCCGACGCTGGCTGAGAAGAAGGATTACGATGAGAACTGGCATAATGACACCAGTTAGTGTTATAAGTAATATACATAGAGTAGACTTTAGTACGACTTGACGCTATGTATGAAGAAGCACCATTGGTTGCGTAACTAGAACTATAAGTAGCAGAAGATAGACAAAGACTTGCTTATTATGTAGTATATAAATAGACATTCCTATATAAAAGAAATTAAATTGAAACATTAACCATTAGTTCGGGTTGACGTTATATTTGAAATAACATCGTTAGTTTAGTAGTTAGAACGATAAGTCAAAGAAGACAGACAAACACTTGGTTATTATGTGGTATATAAATATATATTTTCTATACTATATAAATTATATTGAAATTTCAGCATTTCTAAACCGTCCGCCTCAAGCAGAATGTGAGGAACTATTAGAAGCGCCACCGACCCCCGACATAGAGGAGCCCCCACCACCTATAGAGGACTCGGAGATATCACAACTGTTCGCGATCGCGAGACAACAGATTAACAGATGCATGAAATGCAACAAGGAGGTTGGTTGTTATACTGGTTGATAGATGTTAAACATATTATAAACTGTGGCTAGCACGTGCTCGGTTGTGATATGTGTTCGCGGATATACGGTCAACTATTGTGTGGTAGTTTTAATACTTTATATTTTATTATTTGACTCGGCGTGTGCCATTATATATATACATACCTAGAATCTTGCAAAACATTATATGAATTGCTGATGCACAAATTTTGCTTGCATTATTGTTATAAAAATTGTGATTTGTGTGTCTGTCTTGTCAAATTCTTATTAACATAGCTTTAGACAAGTGCTGGATTTTGATTTGTAATGCACGCCGGGTTAAATATTTAACACGAACAAACATCGAAAAAAATATACACATTAATAATACCAGACAACTTAGTTTTAATTTGAAGAAAGGAAACGTAATTCGTCAAAAAAAAATTAAGTGTATGTTTATTGAGTTACTACCATAAACAAATTGATATGTCTCAAATAAATTATGGGTTAAGTGAGAAGGTAAAATCTATATATATTTAGAATGTTTGTCAGTAAAACGAGGGTTTTATTTAAATTTTGTAATTTTTGATCATCAGGAGGTTCGCGAATGAGTAGTATTGGCGTAATGCTGTCCGCAGTGGAGAGGAACGACGAGTTCTTAGAACTAGCGTCCTTGCTTCAAGGCTCCATTGCGGCTTAACTATTCGATGTCGACATGTAATACAATAAATAGTATAAAACGAACATTTCATTTCGATAGTACAACCAAAAAAAAAACCCTTCGTTCGCCCCTATGCAAACGACAGAAAAAGACTGGCTTTAAATAATAAATAAAAATGATTTAGGAAGAACGCGATACAGTAGTATTGGCTTGCGCTCTGCAGTATAGCGCGGGGGTGGGGTTTTTAGAGCTAGTGAGCGCCTCGCTTGCCGCCCGGCGCGCCACGCCCGCCTGGTGTGACACGTGCGGCCGGTTCACACCCACCACGCAGGTCGCGAGGATACTCAGGTGAGGGTTAACTGGTGGGAAAATACTCTTTATATCATGTTTCTATATGAAAATTACATGACGTAGGGTAATCAGGTGAGGGTTTACTGGTGGGAAAATACTCATGATATCACATTTGTATACGAAAATTACATGACGTAGGGCAATCAGGTGAGCGTTAGTTAGTGGTAAAATAGTCATGATTATATTGTTCCTATACGAACATTACGTGACGTAGGGTACTTAAGTGAGCGTTTGCAATGCTCATGATGCAAGGGTCATGATTATATTGTTCCTATACGAACATTACTTTCATGATTTCAATACAATATATCAGTCCCTAAAAATTTGAAATGTTGATTTTATCCATCCCTATTTTTTTTAAGTCAGTATTCTTAAATGCTGTATTTTTCTAATGTATTAATTATAAATAAAAACAGTTTTTCTGTTAAAGTGATTCCAAATATTTATATATTTTCAGACTGCCGCCCATACTCGCAATTAACTGTGGCGGAATGACAGCACAGGAAAAGGCGTTCTGGTCGAGAGGTGGACAAAAATCAACGGTAAATTAGTTATATTAATTAGTACTGAAGTAATGTAATTTGGAGTATAATTTAATAGCCATTATTACATCGATCGAAGTATTGTTTTTAGCCAGAAGTTATAAAGAGAGGGGGTAGCGGCAAGCCTTGTAGGTACGGACTACATTGTGCAAGACCTGGGTGTAGATTTAAACACCCGGAGAGGTATGTTCAATAAGATCTAATATAATATTTGTGACGATGTATGTTGCTCCTATATTCAAAAAATTCTCTACTGATTTTAATGAATTTAGATATCAGGATAGAATATAAGCTATGTTTTATCTCATTATGTGTAGTCAATTGGCACAGACTAGGTGTCGCTGCCTGTTGGTTATCGTACATATTGGTGTAACTATTTAACACACCATGCTCTATATGCTCAAGTGGGTAGGTAGTCCATCCACACCAAAACATTGTCATAATAACAAAATATGAGACAGTAAGCATACACATAAAGTAATTTACATGCAAACAAAATTGTGCTTAAAAATGTGGTTTAAAGATGTAGGTACTTAAAAAACGGTCATTTAAAAATACTTTGGTTGCATACAGATATTATAAGTTCATCACAGTATCAAAGATTCAAAGAGACTATAATGATGATTTTAAACAATAGTTTTATAATTTTATATATGTTAGCAGACCGTCCACAACACCTCAGAGTAACACTCAAGACAATGGTTGTATACTCCCACACCATTTGAATATAAGACTACAACCAGATGGTGAAGTTGTCATTACAGATAAGGTACTTAAATATAAAAATTAAATATAACATTGACGTAGAAATTGTATATAATAAAATGACTATTTTGTTTTGATATTATAATTTTAAACTCCCTATTGTTCTTTTGAATTTAATTTAATTTTAATTGATCCTGACCTGATTTTACAAGTCTTGAATGAGTATATACTTGTTAAAATTCTTAATAAGTTACATAAATGGACTATGATTCAATTAATAATCAATTAATTATTTAATTCCAGGCCAATGCGACCACTGACTTAAAGTCCGACTTCAAACGTCGTTACCAGTGTGAGAACTACAGTCTTCACGCCGCGGTAGTGTGTGTGGAGGACAATCCGAGGAATTTGGTCGCCTACGTTAAGATACCTGATGAGAAAGGAGATCAGAGGTGGTACCTGTTCAATGATTTGAAGTGAGTTGTACTACTGAAATTATTATACCGATATATTGTGGCAGACAGAGTCTTACACGCACACAAACGCACGCATGCATACGGACACACGCACACAGGCACGCATTATTAATAATATAATTGTTATTGTAAGAACAGAAATGAGTTTATAATGATTTATCAATACATCATTGTAATATGATTATTTAAGATAGTTTAGATGTAGTTATAAGATTATATTAAGTTGAAGCTCAAAACAACCACTTAAATTACATTCTGTGCTTATGACAAGTTTACTAGAATGTCTCTATAACTAAAACTATCCAATTTAAGATGGTCTTTCTATAAATGATCTTGTATTGTTATTAATATGAACATTATATTTTTCCAGTATAGTCCAAGTAAGTCCCGAGGAGGTTGTATCGTTTAGTTGCTGGTGGAAGTGGCCTTGTGTTTTGTTCTACAGCACACAGAGGGCTGTTCAGACCTCATAGCATCAGCGAATGTATGGGCCGTCCGGGTGAGTTACATACATATATACATACATACATTTTAATATTAGAGATGACTGAAATACTTAAAAAATGGATGTATAATTGATAATATGTGTTATTGACAAAAACTCGAAAATCAATTAAATGATTATATTGCTAAAGATAACCTGTATTTTTTTTTATTTCTTTAGTCAATATTTAATAATTAATAATGTATATAAAAATGAATTGCTGTTCGTTAGTCTCACTAAAACTCGAGAACGGCTGAACGGATTTATCTTATCTTAGTCTTGAAATATTCGTGGAGGTTCAGGGAAAGTTTAAAAGCTGAAAAAAATATGTCATTTCCCCGAAAACCATAAAAACAGCCCTTTTCTATTTCCCATACAAACGTTTTCTTTGATATTAGATTTGACTACTAACTAATATGTCAATCATTCTGTTCGATTAAAATAAGAAAAACCTGATTATTTATGGCCTCTGAGACGGAATAGAGTTCGCCCTGTCAGCTATACATATATTACTAATGACGAAATTAACGCGGACGAAGTCGCGGGCAATAACTAGTATTTAATAATAATAATATAGAAACAAAATAGTTTAAGTACATGTTTTGTTTTCGTAAAAATATTAAAGGATTAAAAGATAATGAATGGAGTAAACAATAAAACTTATTAAATTTCTTTTAACTTTCAGAATTAACGGCTCATACATCAATGCTATCTTGGAAGTACTAACTGAAGGACGCTACAATTTACGTTAATGTTGTATTGACATGAAGTACGAATAATTCCAGTAGGTTAATGAAAGGATCTAGCGAAGTGGAGTCTAACGTTACCTAAGGTACATAAGCCGGGTACACACTACTGCAGCATAAACAATTAATTTCTTCTATCATATGTCTGTCAGTGTTGCGACACTGCAGTGTGTACCCGGCCTTATAAATATACCCTAAAAACCCTCGGATGTTTTATAATTGTGATGGAACTAAGACTGATGTAACGATTAAAAGTTTGAAAGTGAAATGCCGACATAACAGTTTATATATATTATATACGGAATCAGTATGAACCCCGATACAAATATCTGGCAGATAGCCATATTTTTGAGGGGTCAATTTTAACTGGTGTACATATAGTATCGAGTGTAATTATATACGTAGTTGTTAATCTTCGTAATATATTAAGTGATGAATGTTCGAAATATATCAGATTTTTTAAAGCTCCATATAATTTACATATGACACGCGGCTTTGCACTAGTTTAACGCGCACTAGATTTCCTCCACTTTGCTAGTTCATAGCTCTCGTGTGTCTGAAGCATTTTAATTTTCAGACAGGACTCTCATAGAAAAAAATATAGTAACACATGCAACAAAATATTCAGCCTGTCTAAATGTTTAAATGCTTAGATTATTTCGTTCAGAGCAACATCGATTCCGCATATATTTTTATAAAAGAACAAACGTTTTTTATAAAGCAATAAATTTATAATGCAATTTTTACGACCGGAATATAGACGAAGAGATATTTTTAAAAATATTTTTTATATAGCATTGCGTGTCCAAAACCATTTCGTCTGAGCTTTTTCATGGTCCATTGTGATGAAGACGATCTTATTTATATCTTAAAAGGCAAAACATAAATTAATCCCTTTGTTTTATGTTAATCAAAAGGGATTTTATTTTAAAGGAAATAAGGTCGTTTCAACATTGTGATCTGAATTACTTTAAGCGAAGGTTCCATTAATTACTAAGGCACAAAACGGAGACATATTTTAAATACGAATTAGGAAAGCTAGATTTGTACAGATTATATATTGGATAATGATTGTTGAAATTTGATGCCACGTGTGAAGTACGAAAACGCTACTTAAGAATTTATTTGTGATACCGAGGTCACGTTTAATTTATCAATACATTTTGTATTTTTATTTATGTTTTATTGGTTAAGAAATAAGTCATATTTTTGTGAAACATTTGGTTGAACAATACTCCGGCCTCGAGATTTTTATTTCTGATAGTCTTATATTGGAACTGTTCGGTTGTGATACACGATTTTGCATTTTTGTACGTCTTTTGTTCACACTTACCGCTTGTGCGTTAGAATTATTTGTTTTTATGTATAGATTTTATTTTCTATATCTCAACAAGGTGGCTGGTTAAATAAACTACAATTCCAAAAAAAATGTTTGTTTTATTTAAAATCACAATGTTTTTTAATATTAATAGCAGTTAAACTTAATATTATCTTCCTCGACTGAATAAATGTATTAAAATTGATAGCTAACGCTGTCCGCTCTCTTTCTAGCTTTCATTTTAATGTCGCTTTTATTATGTTCGTCAAGAACTGTAGTTTTCTCCAACCTCGTGGTGGCAATTTTTTTGAAGTCCTCGTAAACACTCGAGTAACTCGCCACAGAACTTTCAAAGTCTTCTCTATTCAGTTGGAAAAGTTCGCAATTCGTAACCGCTACAACTGACGCTGAACGCAATCTATTCTTCATTATTAATGCAATTTCACCAAAAAAATCTCCATCTTCCAAATGACATACTTCTTTACCCGACTCCGAATAAACGGCTACCGTGCCTTTGTAAATAAAGAAAAGAGAGTCCCCTGGAGAAAAATATATTATAGAAATATATATTAATTAAATTATTTCCTATTCTGTATATTTCATGAAATGGTTACTATTGACCAGTTAAATTAGATAATTAACTATAGCTTATTTTTCTTATCTCAACATTAATGTAAATGAATGATTTTTTTATACATAATTTACATATAAATTTTATAATAAATGAAAATGTTGCAAACCAAATTTATTAATTTTATTTTATATGTGTGATTTTATACGTACCAATTGTGTTTATCTTAATAATAATATCGCCGGCTATAAATATAACAACACGTAACTTGGTGCCGATCTGTAACAACAGTGGTCTTGGCAGCTGTTTCAAGAACTCCACGTCTTGGACCAATTGTCTTCCAGTGTGCATGATGATGTCTTCTTTAAGTTGACCAGTCAGACAAGACATCATGCGAGCTTCCTTTTATTATTTAAATGGATGTAAGGAAAAAAATATTGCAATAATACATATTTACAGGGCCTTCTTCATATTGGTACCATGAATATTGGTATAGTAGGTTTCATGTTTAACACATAGTCTTACCACAAAAAAATGCGAATGGAACCTTATAGCGTAGAACTTAAGAATCTTTTTCTTAATCCGAGGCGGAAATTTTCTTTGGTTCAAATACATCTTCACCTGTTCAGTCATGACGAAGTAATTTGATCTAGCTGACTCCGATCCCAAAATTGCTATGATGTACTTATAAGTGCAGTGTAATATTAAACCCTGTTGGTTAATTAAATATTTCTGCATAAAATGAGTAAACCAAACAAAAAGTTTTAGTTATATGGAAATCTACTAATTACTACCTAAGTAAGCGTAATGGCTAACAATTAATTTCATATATAAACATTATTTTTTATAACGAAAACAGTTACCTTTGATATGAACCAAGAAAACATGAAGTAGATATCAAAACAACCATCTTCCTCTAGCAAATTCAGATTTGCGTTCCCTCTTAACATACCAACTTAAAAGAAGAAAAACGCGTGCAGTATAGGCAGGTATTAAACGAATAAAACTTTAATAATTAATTAATTAATACCAGCTCTATCCAATGCATACAAAAACCTGACAGTAGAAGATCTATTCCAAAGCTTCCCAATTGTTACCCATGAACAATTTCGTGGAGATGAAGGTTTGTAAGTACCCTCAAGAATATATTCCATTGCATATTGAAAGTAAATATTCCAAAGCAAATATGTGGTCAATAAAAAAATTGCTTCGGATATTATTTCTGTTATCAACTGTTTTTGAAGGTTATGAATGTAATTAAAGTAAGATGTAAATATTCTATTAGAAGAAACTGAAACATGAACTCACCTCAGCATTAACTACCTCCAAAAAATCTTCAATATAGAAATAATGTTTCGGTACACGTAAAACTCTCATCGCATCAAGAATCAATTCTAGTTTTAGGGACTCATATTTAAAAATATCAGGTACAATGCTACTTATAGATATAATATCTAACAGCAACCAAGTCCCGGAATATCTCACCATTATCTTCTTTAAATTTAATTCTACCGACTTGCAACTATATCCTTCTACGTACCCAGTGAATAAACTAATAAATATATTAAATACATAAATTATATCTGTGCAGAGGAGAATAAATCTAAGGTAGCTCTGAAAAAAAATTAATAAAAAATAATTTTAAAATTAAACGGCTATTTTAATATTGTTATAGTATTTGAATTAAAGAGAAAATGAGCTATTTTTCTTTTAATCACTTCACGTACATTGCTTTTGGGATCGCTTGAACTGTATAGAAGGGCCATTAATAAAGTCGTTATAATCAGAATGAACATAAAGAAAATCTTAAACCATAGACAGAACCTGCTGTAGGGATGTATAGACCAAGGAAAGTATTCATATTGTCTATATTTTTCAGCACACAATGATGCAGACGACCTTAAAATTTGGTGATGTTCGATTAAAAAATATATATATTTTTATTATTAAACTGTTGTAAATGTCTTACTTGAAAAGTTTCCGTGCCCTTGTATCTCCCATATTAATCGCTATTAAGTATAAAACGATATATCTAAACTTATTATATGGTATTTCGTAATTTGATATCTTGTATTTAGGCAGATAACATTCATGTCCTTCGAAATAATTATAGAAATTTTTGGCATTTGGCCGTTGATCATTTTCTTTAATTAAGGACATTATTTTTTGCCTAAATGATAGTTTTCTTTCTGTTTGTCAAATAAATTTTCTTGACAGAGTTTTGGTAACAGACAATAAAAGTTGACAAAAATATATATTTCAACGAATAAATAATCTTCTTTGTAGAAATAAAATAACTATGTATGTACAATACATATGAAAATACAAATTCGAAATGAAAATGTAAAATTTTAATTTCTTTCTTTATGTCCAACTAATAACAGCTTTTCCCATTCTCCATTTTTCAGCACAAGTTTTTGAACATAACGCAGCACTAAGAACAACATCTTCCGTGTTTTCGATGAGAATAATTTTTCTGAAACAAATTACAGTTTCAATTGATATATTAAAAAGTATTTTTCAGTAACAATATTTGAATACATACTCTAAACAGAATTCAAAGTAGACGAAGTCAAAAATAGGTTTTTTGCAATTCACATTTTCACACTTCGATATGGGCCCGTTGCATAAATCTTCTTTTATAAATCGTGGTAGATAAGAATATTCATTTTCTATAATGTCAGAAGGTGTGTAATAGCCTTTTCTATTAATGAACAAATTATCAGCTTTTTTCTTTGGACTATAAGCATTTGAATCGTCTTCATTGGAATTATTACAATAATTGTTGCTATTGTATATATTAAAATCTTTAAAATGACGGTTAAGATTGGCAATATTATTATTAAACTCCTTGTTGTTGGTTTCAGAATGAATGAAGCTTTGCTGTCCGTTTAGTTTAGTCGTGACGTCAGTAAGCATTCTGTAAAACGTTCGCTTGCAAAGTTCTAATAAACTCGGTGGTGAGGCGAAGTTTTTATTTAAAATATTCAAATATTTTGAGGGAAATTTGATATCAAAGTCAGTTTTCGTAAAACCCTTTTGTTGGTCGCAATTTTTTTCATGCTGATCATCACGTTTTGGAAATCCTAAACACCTAAAAAATAAACGTAGAAACTTATGTCAATAAAAATTATATTCAATAAAAAATTTTTGTTATTCTAAAACAATATTAAATGAAATTCATTTCAAACATACCCAATACTGAGACTTCTTGTCTGTTGTTCTCTGAACATGTGATACCAAAGCGAATAAGGTATAAATTTCAAACTGGAGTTTCGCCAAAATCTGAATTCGCAATGATAATAATTGTATACGGGTTTTTGTGGTAGCCATTCTAGCTTATTATCTGAAATAAAAAATATACATTCATTTTGAGTACAATTTCTTTCATCTCAGACAAAACAGATTCTTTGGGGATTTCTTTTTATCGTCTGATTTGTTAACAGGCCTATTTTCATACAATTCAATTTTAAGATGTCTATTTAAATTTTAAAGTCATGTCATCTTGCAACTGTATTTTATTTTTTAGACGAGATTGGATACGTTACGTTGATGTGCGTAACATTCGTTACAGTAAATGGGTTAAAGATCAACAAGGAAGCACTAAAGTTGATTTATTTCAGTTTAGTATCGAAAGCAGACGTAACTACGATGTTTCGTTCGCGTTACGAGCGACACTAAATCTGCAATATCTTCAGAGTTGTTGTAAAGATTATAGTGGTGTACTTAAAAGGTATTGGATATTATCCTACGGCTTAAGTGGTAATTCGAAATTTAACAGAATAAATTTATAAGCCAGTTCATTAATTTACACTTCAAAAATGTTTATCGAATATATATTTTACATACTTATCAACAAAGTAAAGAACATTCATGTGTCCATTTATTATGAAGACACTTTTCACTAAGTCGTTGCGAAGTTTAGTTTCATTAGAATATATGGCAGTTGAGTAAAAAATTATAATGATTAATAACCATTTTACTTTCTAACAACCTTAAGCATGCATACTTGAATTATTATATTAATATTTGTACAACATAAAATCAGCCACTATATTTTATAGATATTATTAATTATTACGACGTAATGGTAGTCAATTAGTTACTAAAACTCACCAAGACCTCAGCAGGTCTTAAAATAGCACACACAAAACACAAAGTTTATCAACATATGATTACCACAAACCGAAAGATAACGAAGCATTCGCAATTCAGCTATCCTTAACGGTATCTCCCTTAGCTCATTTTCGTCCAGTATAAGAAATTTTAGGCTTCCCATATCACCTATTTCGTCCGGGACATATCTCAATCTATTTCCACTGAGATCCAAACACTTCAGTCTTCCTAACATCGATATCTCTCTCGGTAGTTCTGTAATGTCATTGCCGCTCAGATACAAGCTTTCTAGGTTATCCAGTTTACAAATATCACTCGGTATACGAGATATTAAATTTTCCTTTAGATAAATATCCGTTATCTCGGCTACTCCGCCTCGTAGATACTCTATTGGGAATTCTGTGAAACCTCTGTAGTTCCAATGTAGCACTGTATTTGTGTTATTTTTGTAATCCATATTATATTTGTGTTTGTTTATATGGGGAATATATAGGATTTATTATTTCTTCTTTATTAGTTAAAGCTTATATTCCCACTACAGATAAATTGTCAACACTTTATTATATATAAAATAGTGGTTTTTTGCTTATTTTGTTGTTACATTACGATATTATTGATAAAAATTTCGGGACGAGTTCCCTTTACACCCGTTTAAATGAGACTGCGTCTAACGCTCGAGGTTGTAGATTATTTTTAAAAGCAAGGTCTTTTATTTAAAATTAGAGCATGAAATCAATTTAATGGGGAAATTTATATTATATTTTTAAAGTCATAGTAAACCTAACTTCACTACACTACTAACATGAGACTTATTAATATTCCATCATTAAGAGCCTATGTCATAATCATCAATGATAAACAGCTTATTAAGGCAAAGTACCTAACTTTTCATTTTAAGCAACTGTTAAGTTTAGGCTTATGATACATTTAATGTATGTAAATTAAAGCACAAAATTCCTAATGTAACATAAAATAGAAAAGTAATGAATATTTTTCTGTACATCAGTATAAGTCTCATCAAACACAAAACGTCCCAGATATACACACATAAATACATATATATTATATACATGTGTATATACTCTTAAAATATGAGTTAACATTAAAATACCATATGCAGTGTCTTAAGAAACTTTGAGATACAGTAAAATATTTTATTTCTTTAATATTAAATAATTTATATCAAACTGTATTTTATTGTACATATTCATTTGAAATCAACCCGACTTTTGGTAGTAGGTACTAACAAATCGTCTGTAAACGTCGAGAAACAATAAAAAAATGGAAAAAGTATTTGCTATTCTGGCTCGTGGCCAAGTCGGCATCGGTCGAGGACAACTCATCACAGAAACAATGAAAATATGAGTGTTTGATGACACTTCATTGAAACGTAATTAAAATGTAACTTTACATGAGATAAAGACTTAACTCATGACGAAAAATTAATTGATTACTTTGATTTGGTGTCAGAAATAAAAGCATAATTCATTTCTTACAATAGTATATTAGTAAGGTCTTATATATGATTATCATATATTAAAATTGTCAACCTAATAATAGTTTAGAGATATAAATAACAACTACTATTGTAGATGTTTAAATACAGACCCAAGATCAGACTTAAGATTTTGGAAATAGTCTCCATATAAATACATTATTATTTACATTAACATGTAATTAAAGTCTAGTAGCTTCTAAAGTATTTAAATTATTTATAACTAAGAGGCCGTAGGTTTCAGATACTTTTAGAAAAATAGTAAATAGAATTAGGAAAAGTATTTTACATGCTACATTGGTATTACCGGGTAATATATACAGTAAATAGTCATAGTTATTATTTAATAAACAACTTTACCTATTAAAAATATTTTAAATTTCAAGATTTCATAAAATATGTTAAATAGGAGGTGTACTTTAAAAGCAAAGAGATAATTAATATAATATTTTAAAATTACATTACATGTATAATGTTTATAGAACATAAACCTTTCATTTAATTTTCGTAAATATTGTAAATCAGTATCAACTGATTATGTCTCATTAGTTAGTTTATTACTACCACTGTAAGTCATTTATGAAAAATTACAGACATATGAGATATGTGCATGTTATGATATCTATACTCATAAAAATTTATTATTATTAATAAATAATTTCAAAATAAATTCTATTCAATCGAAAAGTCAATTCAAACAAAGTGATCTAAAAGCTTTTCAGTTTATAAAATATGTGAAATATTATAACAGAGCCATATTAAAATCTACGTATAATCCTGACTCGTTTTCCTTTGCCATCACTTTCTTCGTCGCTGTCAATAGATGACTGTCTGCCACTCAGCATGAGCGCGTGGATCTCAGGGTTCATTGGCAGAACTGGGAAGGATGAACGACGGACCATCGGAGCTGGGCGGGCTCCTACGACACAAAGGAGAATTAACTTAATATAATTTTAACTCTAAAATTCTTACAATATCTACAAATTTATAATTTTTACTACTAGTACTCTAAGGATTATGCTTTATTTAATGCCTAAATTCATTTATTCGTCACTACGGTAAAATACCAGGGCATCTATCTACTAATCTACTTGTCTGGATTACAGGTTAAGCCTTTTTCCTTGAATAGTATGAGGCTGATAGCACCGATATATGTTTTGATTATTATTGTGGAAGTCAGGTTAACCGTCAAAAATAAATTATAGATGTGTAAATTCAAAAAACAATTTCATTCCTATTAATATTTCATTGGATTGTTATCACAATCTTATCTTATCACAATTTTCTATCGAAAAATTTTCATTTTTTTCTATAAACAAATTAAACAGTACATATATAAAAGGATATAAATTAAATATTAAAAAGCAATGAATATTGTAATTATTGTTTAATGAAAAACAATCATTTAATTTTAAAATGGCAAACGTTAAATTTGTAAATGCGTTGTGATATATGTATATTGGTTTTAAGTCACGTACGTAAAAAATTATGTGTTGCTAATTGTCACATATTCATCCGAAACCCAAAGTATTATGACAAATTTAATTAACATATTAGTTACTTTATTTATAAAGATAAAGTTAAATAACAGTAAAACTAACATCTCTACAGACCTAAACTCACAAATGTATGCTTTAGGAGAATATTTTGAGCAACGGTCACAAAGTTTTAGTACAATTTTGTATTGCATACAAAAAATTAAAAGAAAGATAGTGTGTGAAGCTCACAAAACATTCAAAGCAGGCTTGAACAAATATTTAAAAATCGAGGCTAAAAGCTTTTTCTAATAAAACAAAGTAAATAATATATACATTGAGTATCTCCAAAAACAAATCGAAGTCCCAATATTGGAACAGCATACATATAACATGTGTGTTATCCTATTATAATATTACTTTACACTTGTGGTCTTTAACAAAATCAAAATTCATTAGCTAAACAAAAAAAAGACCTTTATTTTCGCTATCACTATTTCTATTTTCAATCATGGTGTTGTATATGGTTTAACAATCGAGCCTTGATTGATCATTTGGAAAATTGTTCAATCTGCAGTACATTATTTGTAAATATATTAATACCTATACACAATTTGCCAGTTGTACGGGACTCAGCTAATTCGATGCACTTTATCTTTATAGGATGTTAAAATTTTAAGGATTATTTCTCTCAACAACATTTAATTCAGTTCAACAAGCATCAGTATAATATGTAAGAATCATTTAACCCTATCCCAATCTTAGTTAAATATATTATTAAAAATATACTAGTAAATGAATAACCTATGTGGATAAATGGCTTAAATATTTATGAAATCGGTAAATCATCATTTATACATACTTATATTAGTATTTATTCTAATTAGAATTATGACAGGCCGTAATTTATTAGAAAAAGATTCTTCATCTGTTCTATGATATGTTCATTTGTAATCGACAACTACAAAGAAGAAGCAAAGAAAATTTATGGCAAGGCTAAATATACGTAGATCATAATGTCGTAATTTTCCCGACACCATACATTAATTTTCCAAAACCTAAAACATCTATCAATAATTTATTTATTTATTGGAAATAGTTACACCATGGACTTATCGCTAACACATTCACTTAGTAGTAGATACAGGGTATTAAATCTAGGTGAATAAATAATTACAGGTGTAAACAACATTGAAAAACATCATATCAATAATACATTATACATACATATGCCATCCTAAAATAATTATCGTATTTGGAATACACTTCAACATTAGGTCTACAAAGAACATAATGCAATGAAATACATATACACTAATAAAGCAAAGCAATTTATAAGCAAAGTGTCAAATACATTTAAAAACTGTGACATTCGAGCATAATCAAGGTGCAATTTACCTGAGATATTTTTTCAGTCGTCAGACAGACCTTGTGAAGAGAGGAAACAAAAATAATAGATTCATAACCAATAGTCAAATAACACATTGATTACAACATTGAGATTCATGATAGTATAAACATTTGAGGCCTGAATTTCTTGTACTCATTTTATACATTAAAAACAGCTATAAAATTCAAGCCTCTTCAAAGTGAACTATTGAAGAAATATATTAAAAGTTAAGATATGTAAAGTGGTTTGTTCAAAACATACCAATTAATTTAGCAACTGACTGCCTCTTAGCATGTTTGATGTCAGTCGAAGTCTCTCCGATCGACGCCGGCGCTGAGTTATCACTTTTATTTGTTTTCTCACTAAGATATGAATTAATTGACTCTCCTCTCATGTAAGGTTTACTCTCTTTTCGTCTTTTCGTTTCTTCATCAGAGCTTACCGAAGATTCAGCCAATGGAAACAATTGAATTCCAAATTTACTCGACTCCCGTCTCAAGACTTTTTTATTTGCAAATTCTGCAAGCGATTGTCTTCTTTCGCCATTTGGGTTCAGCTTTAATCTAGCCTTTTCCTCTTCTTTTACTTTCAGTATATCCAACAGAGCATTCAGCACCAATACAACTAGAAATACCGTTATTCCTATCACTGTGATAGTATTATCTTCGTTGTACATAACTTTGGTTCTCGATTTTTTTGCTAGCGGCAACGGTTTTCGAGTAAAGACTTCTAAAGCGTTGCAAGAATCTTTAATAAATAAAGGGAACGGTTTTGTTTTTACAACTTTGGCCTGAATGTTGTTCGATTTTACACCGGGCACAGTCTTTTCGTTTGAATCCGCCGCCGTTGTCTTTACCTCATTCGTATTGTTTGTCATAAACCACATGTTAACATTGTACAGGCAATAAAATATAACGAAGAATATGAAAAGTAATATCTTACGCTCACCCATGTTTACATTGGAAAGCACTTGTTTGTTTTGAAATGGTTTCGGGCTTGTGTATAGCTATTCGCGTATTATGATTGTTTAAATGTTAAACTTACATTGATATTGTGATGTTTTATTATAATTTCTAGCGGAACACAACTGGCAGCCACGTCAGATATTGTTGTGTGTACAGTGGCAGCTACCGTGCGCATGTGCAGGTTCAGCTGAGGCGTAGGGGTCGATTTTATATAGCTACTTCGCACCAAACACATCACCTTATCGTACAAACTATTTATTACGCTACTATCTTTGAGTTCTCGTAATCATATTACTGTTATCAGATTTCCTCTTCACTAGCTGTTTTTATCAAAATTAATTTAGAAGCTTCGATATGCATATCCTACCGACACAGATAAGTCATGTTTAACTAACTTTCAACTTCATTCTAACTTTAACTTCATCTTTGTTTTGATGCTTTAATTACAATAAATATGAAAGCTCGTTGTCTGTCTTAAATGTAGTCAAATGTTGACGGCAGTCACTATGACGTATATTTGTTACATTGAATCGATTTTTTAGGATGTCAATAGAATAATTTTCGAACTACCGTCTTTTGCTATTATTTAGCGATCTATTTTATTTTTTATCTATGGCAATTACGATAGTAAATAGATTATGTAAAACTGCATTCCCTTATTAAAACAATTCTTTATTTATTTCGTAGTAAACATTTGAACAGGAAGACGACGCCAAAAATTATTACTGCGAAGTAATCGCAACTATTCCTACGAGCGTACATCGTCAAGCTAACCGGAGATAGTTTATAGTTTTTCAGTTATAACTTTCTACATGCTGGTATCAGCACAAGCATACATACGAAAACTCATGAAACTGATTACATTTAGTTTGACAAATCAAACAAATCGTGGATACAGAACGTTGAGCTTAAAATTCTAAAAGATATATGAAATTTAAAAGTGAAAATATATTTTTATATTTTCACGTTAAATACTAAAACTCAAGATATTTTTCAGAACTTCAGAAGAACTTCTTCATTTGTTAAACATAACTTCAACTAATAAAATAATAATATTATGTCAACTTTTACATAACTTCGTAATAAAATTCTACATCAAAATTTAATATTGTATTCCTCAGCAATGTTATTGCATTATAAATCAACATTTATTTGATATATTATGTATCGTGCATATATATATATATATATATATATATATTTTTATAAAAGTTATTTATTTAGTTCTAAGAAACTTATAAGTTAAAAGTCACATTTCATAGGTAAGCTAATTGTTTGTATACGTATTTTTTTGCTAGAAAGTCTTATTTATAACAGGGTGTCATGATTTTAATCTTCCGGATTAATTTATTATAAAAAAAATCATCTTTGCTTTATAAAATGTAACTAGCACCATCTCTTAACATTTAAATTCGTTATCTATTTTAACAATTTCGTGAAGTTTTTTTTTTACTTTGTTTGTGAATAAATATTTTTGATTTTTTTTTAACTATGGACCTACAACTTTGGTTTAGTTTGAGATAACAGGGATTAATATCCCCAGCCTCTTAAAAACCACTCACATATACATTATTAATTCATAAAAGGGACAAAGTATTACGTAAACTTATAATAACACAGCATACTAAAAACATAATAATACGTTTACATTATCCCACTATACTTTTCATTCATTAAATAACAATTAAATTCGAAAAGTGCCAGTAATCCTTTTGTTTTTACACACTGTGCCAGCAATTGAATTTTCCATAATGCAGCCCGCATTTGTGGCTGTAATTGCAGTCACGTGCTCGGTTTTCTTAAATATAGCTATTGCATCGGTGTTTATGCCTCGCTTTATTTCACCTCTTAATTGAATTTCACGCTCAAAGATTTTTAAGCTGTTGCAGCTTTAAAATATCTACGATTTTGAGGTCCATTTGTTACGCTGTGTTATGTTTATTGGTTACGGTTTTTGGGTTTAATTGAAAATATATCTTTGAATGACTATCCCGGATTTACTGAAAGAATATCGACTGACCTTTATAGACATATTTTTGGTTGTCCTAAAAGAAGTTATTGTAAGTGTATCATTCTGAGCAGAATAGAAAGCTTTTTATTTTTTTACTTTTAATTGTAATCAATTCATAATGTGAAAAATGAATATATCCTTAAATAATTAGAAAATTTAACCCGTTTGGGTTTGGCATCTACTTCAAATATTTTATTTAAAATTGAGATACATCCAATAATGTGCAACACCTCAAAGTTTAATGCTTTGCTTAGCAAAATTGAAATCACGTTTAAAAAACCGTATTCCGATATTGCATTCCTGGAATGGAATCGTTTGCAAAAAGATTTCCATTTCGCATCTCGTCGCATACGGATGCAGATTAAAATTTGCTGTGATAAAATGTATGTCAATTTAGTTTTTTACGTAGAGATTTTTAAGCTTGGCAATATGTAGATCGGTTCAATAGATGTTTTTAATTATTAAATTATGAAAGGTTATTTTTTAAGTCTCTTTCTGTATCTCATTTACTCATATAGAAACGTGTATTATAACTCTGATGCTTAAACTTAATTAATTGACATATTACTGGGTTTCATGATTTTTTTGTAATTTTGTTTCAATATAAAGAGCGTTTACAAAAAAGGGGCAATTTAAATCATTTTTAGTAGTAGTATTAGTAACATAGTAGTATTAGTAATACATACATATATGTTCATAAGTGTTGGTTCAAATACAAAAAAATGAATGGTTGATGACATTATTATTTGTAGATATAAAAAAAATCTTTATTAACAGATTTTATTTAAGAAACAGTATCCAATCTCATCTTGTAAGCATTGATATGTTTTTCCATGAAAATATAAAACTGCTAAATTAATATACATACGAATGAAAACAACGATATCCAATGTTTTTATAGTGCTTTATTTCACGTGTTTGCATTTAATTATATTGTTTCAACTTATTCAATATGTTTCACTGATTTAATTTTAATAAAAGCAAGTCGTCGAATAAAAGCTTTAAGAACCCGCAGTCACCCTCGGACGTGAGGATAAGAGGTAACGTGCTAGTAATCACAAAGCACGATTTCTAAAACAATGTAACAGTTTTATCGGATTTCTCTTGTTGATTGGAATTAATTCTTTGATATTATTGTAGTATGGTAAGCCATTTTAAATAATATAAAATTTAATTGTATTATATTTAACTGATACCTTCGTCACAGTTTGTATATTATATAAAATTTAAACAGACAATTTGCATTTAATTTGGATAAGGCGTTTAAATACGTCGCTTCTGTATTATAATTTCTAAAAGCTTTCTCTACATATGCTAGCTTAGCAAAATTTATTCACAGCTTTAAACAAAGCACCCTCAACTGAATGTCTTATTGTCAAGAAAAAGATATAGTATTAGAAACAGAGCAATAAAAATTAAAATCTTATTGCAGTAGAAACTAATGATACTTTTGACGCAAAGGTCATTCCAAAGCTTCATATAATTTTATAAGGGTTTCTACATTTTTGTTAAATATATATTTGACTAAAAAATAGAAACAACAAAATCGATTACAATCTCATTCATTCAGTGATTGCGTCAATTATTTCGCCCAATAAGCAGTTTTATATTCTCTCTGGGGTACCAAAACGTTCCCCCAACGAATGCCTAATGAACTCGAATGGCTTTGTTACGAGATAGAGCCGATTTTATTCATCACATTTGCATTTTAAACCTTAAATCTTTGTAATAAAGTCCGTTCCTTAAATCACGTAACTAACTTCGAGGAGTACGACTTTTATATCAATTTATGATCTCAAAGGCTTTATCTTGGAATCATTTGGGGGTACTGTGATTGATAAGTTTTAGAAATTTCTAAATTATTTTGTTACTTTAGTTTTCTTTGTCAAGGTGATGGATAATTAATAGTTAGATTCTAAAGCACTAGACACAAAACGAATACAAAAACTAGCGCAAAAAACATAATTATTTTCATATTTCACTTGCTAACGATTTTCACGGTCCATATACTTCATTATATGGAACATTTGATTAAATCGCTCCCGATGTAAAACGGAAATGATCTTGAATAGCCAATCGTAGATCCTTGAAAAGGGATTTTTCCCCAATTTCAATTTGAACGCGTCCTTAATGAGAGTATTGAGATCAGATATTTCTCTTCTCACAGTCCGTCTTATTGAATTTCCTTTTAAAACTTATCAGTTTAGAGATAAATCCATTTTGCATCAATGAAATAAAAATATTTGACATGCTCTTAATTTTTTACTTCTATTATTTGTTTTTTTTTATCAACCAAATTTTAAATGATTGTCTATTAAAATGTAAAAGAAAAAGTAATGTTATATCTATATGTAATGTTAAATATTTTTATAGATCTAATAAATATTTCAAACGTGTTACGATATTTATTATTTAAATACATTTTCTGAAAAAAAAAGCTTTTAAAATAATAATAACATAATATTTTTAATATTAGTAACCAGAACAGACCAATTAAATAACAAAGATGACAAACTGCCAACAAAATAAATCCTGAATATTTGTCGAGTTGGTTTCCCGCTCGGCTACGTGACAGCTAGATGGAGATTAAATAGAGATTAACTTTATATTGTTGGTTGGTTTCAATGTACAGATATATCGAAATGTTATTAATTTATGTTCTTTATTTTTTACGTTTTTACATATAGTATTGAAATGTTTTGTTTCAATATTGCATGTTATATAACTCAGGATTATTTTAATCTTAGGTAATAATAAAACACAAAAGTATAAAGTTCTATATTTTCTGTAAGTAACAATTTCTAGTATTTTTTTATAAGTAAAGTCTAGGAATAGATGGGTTGTATTTGATCTATGTATAGCAATTGTGTTGTGATTACATGTATACAAAAATTTAAGAAATATAAATAAATATCAGAAACTACTCAAGTGTTGATACTTGATTTACATACAAATGACGTTATAGATCCTGATCGA